TTCCCTATCTTTCTTAGAACAGTGGGTCCTGAAGCTATAGGCCTTTATCTCTTGTCAACTGGAGTACTTCTTGAAGAGGGTGCTGTCTCTGCAGTGAGTTGGGCTTTTGTTTTTTTGTTCCCCCCCCCCTTTTTTTTAAATTAACATATAATGTATTATTTGTTTCAGGGGTACAGGTCTGTGATTCATCAGTCTTACACAATTCACAGCACTCCCCAATGTCCATCACCCAGCCACTCCATCCTTCCCACTCCCCTCCACTCCAGCAACCCTCAGTGTGTTTCCTGAGATTAAGAGTCTCTTATGGTTTGTCTCCCTCTCTGGTTTCGTCTTGTTTCATTTTTCCCTCCCTTCCCCTATGATCCTCTGTCTTGTCTCTCAAATTCCTCATATCAATGAGATCATATGATAATTGTCTTTCTCTGATTGACTTATTTCGCTTAGCATAATACCCTCTAGTTTTATCCATGTCATTGCAAATGGCAAGATTTCATTTTTTTTTTGATGGCTGCATGATATTCCATTGTATATATAGCACATCTTCTTTATCCATTCATCTCTTGGGGGACATCTAGGCTCTTTCCATAGTTTGGCTATTGTGGACATTGCTGCTATAAAATTGGGGTGCAGGTACCCCTTCAGATCACTACATTTGTATCTTTGGGGTAAATACCCAGTAGTGCAATTGCTGGATCATAGGGTAGCTCTATTTTCAACTTTTTGAGGAACCTCCATACTGTTTTCCAGAGTGGCTGTACCAGCTTGCATTCCCACCAACAGTGTAGGAGGGTTCCCCTTTCTCCGCATCCTCGCCAACATGTGTTGTTTCCTTGTTAATTAACTTGTTAAATTTAGCCATTCTGACTGGTATGAGGTGGTATCTCATTGAGGTTTTGATTTGGATTTCCCTGATACTGAGCAATGTTGAACACTTTTTCATGTGTCCATTGGCCATTTGGATGTCTTCTTTGCAGAAATGTCTGTTCATGTCTTCTGCCCATTTCTTGACTGGATTATTTGTACTCTGGGTGTTGTTGAGTTTGATAAGTTCTTTATAGATTTTGGATACTAGCCCTTTATCTGATATGTCATTTGCAAATATCTTCTCCCATTCTGTCGGCTGTCTTTTGGTTTTATTGACTGTTTCCTTTGTTGTGCAAAAGTTTTTGGCCCTGTAAGCTGAACTCATGGTCATAGGTAATATAAGGTTGATTGTACCTACAGGTCTAAGAGACCTTCTTCAATATGCCTTTATCAGTAATCAGTCTTTTAGTTTGATTTCTTTTCTGTGTCTCTTTTTTTTAAGATTTTTATTTGAGAGAGAGAGAGCACGAGCAGAGGAAGCGGCAGAGGCAGAGGGAGAAGCAAACTCCCCGCTGAGCAAGGACCCCCCATGTGGTCCTTGATCTCAGGACCCTGGGATCATGACCTGAGCCGAAGGCAGGCACTCAACCTATTGAGCCACTCAGGCGCCGCTCTGTGTCTCTTTCTTGATTGGGTTCATTTCACTTTGATTTCAGTTGGCCACATGCCTTAAGCCTGTTCCGGCTGCTGTAATAAAATACCATAGACTGGGTGACTTATAAACAACAAAAATTTATTTCTCACAGTTCTGGAGGCTGGGAAATCTGAGGTCAAGTTTTGGGCAGATTCATTGGTAAGGACTGTCTTTTCACATGGGAGAAAGGGCAAGGTAACTTTCTGGGGTCTCTGTTATGAGGGCACTAATTTCATTCATGAAGGTTCTGCCCTCATGACCTCATTACCCCCCAAAGTCTCCCACCTCCAAATGCTGTTATATTGGGCATTAGAATTTAACAGATGAATTTTGGAGGACGCAGTCTGTACTACCACACAATGCCCAGGAGTTATGCCATTCTTCCCATGAGGCTCAGAAAACATGGACATACTGTCTTGCACAGTTGAGCAGATTAAACTGTTAGAAAGAAAGCTTTGTTAAGTTTTAAGGAGAAAAAAAAAGGAAAGCAAGAAATATACAAAGAAAAACAAGAACAGTAAGAGAATTAAACATTGAAAGCTACATAAATGCTGAAATCAGGAGTTTGGGTACCTCAAGTTTCATTCCTTGAGATTTTCTCAGTACCTCTGCTGCTCAATAGGTCAGCAAGGAAAATGACGTTCTTATTTTTCTGACTATATAGGTAAAACTAATGTAGAAAACCCTAGCAACAGAATGGTATAAAGGAGAATCACCTAAAATCTCTCCAGTAGGGTACCCACTGAATGTTTTAGGAACCATTCTTCACAGAATAGGCATGAGGGAACCTGTTGGAGTCCTAGAACTGCTTATATATTTATGTGGTTGGTAGTCACATGAATGTATACAGGGTAAAGATTCAAGTTGTACAAGATTTATGCATTCTGTATCTATATTATGTATCAGTTTAAAAATCTTCTAGATATTTCTTTCTCTCTCTAATTTTACACAAACAGAATCATATTATCCATGCTGTTTTGTAAGTCTTTCCTCCAGGGACCATATATTATAAACTTTTTCCATAGCAATACACTTACCTATATATCTTTGTCCTAGGGAGTGTCATGGCAAGATTTAGAATCTTATGGAAGCTGGTTTAGGGAAAATAGAAGTTATAGGCATTCTCACAGCATCCCAGACCAATTATATTTCTTATTTTTTAACTTCTTGGTTATCTTTAAGCCAGTCTTCTGAGCCTTCTTTAATTTGTCTTCCTTTCTATACATTTGGTGATCTTAGAATTTCATCACCACCTTAGAGAGTAGCTTCGTAGTTTCCATCAGACAGTTTTCTCATGTGAAGGACCATTTCATGAGGTTCATGTCTTAGGACATAGATGATCCATGGAGTTCACTATGTGAATATTCTCTTCTACCCAATGTAGCTATGCCTGCAAAGCAAGAAAGTAAGTATCAGAGAAGATAATCTGCATCTTGTCAACAAATCAAGATCGTTGGTTTAACTATGTGGGAAAATGGGTGGAAATAACTTTCATTACCATCTTAGAAATTCATTCAGTGGACATTTGTCAATTGAGAATCGAATGTGTGTGACATTGTATTGGATGCTGGGGATACAGCAATGAATATGACATACATGCTGGACCTCAGTGAACACAGTCCAGTGTAAAGTGGAGCATAGCGTGCCCCTGTTGAAGCAAGTTTCCGAGATGGATGTTTCCTGATTCTGTGATTGCCTAAGGGTGAGACATGTACTAGGGCAGTCTCACTGGGGACAGTGATGGATGCCAAAAATGAAGAATTTGTATTGTTAGAGTAAAAAAAGAAGCAGAGGTCTGAAAACCCAGAAAAACATTTGGAGGTTGGTGAAAGGTAAAGAAAGCCAGTAGGAGATATTGAAGCCAAGGTTCGAAGCCAGAAATTTGAGGCCTGGTTTACAAAAAGAAGAGAATCTGGGGTTGAAGGAGATAGGTGAATTAAAATCATGAAAAAGAGAGTAAAGAAGGTGAAGTGAAGCACAGGTAAGTGCTGGCGTTTGAGGTGAGTGCATTAGGCTAAATGGCCAGGGGGAGGAAAGGGAGACAGACACTCAGGATGAAAAGAACACGGACAATAAATGTGGTATATTATATATTATATGTGGTATATTCTGGAACCCGCAGAACCTGTGATTAGGTCTAGCTTTTTCGTGATAGCAGACTGAGAGTCTGTTTTAAGTACCAGATTTATTGAAAAGATTATAAAAGGTTTGCCTGCTTTGGATGCATAAACAAGGTTAGTGATCTTTTCCAAAGAACATACATCTTTTGGTATTTTCTTGGGTTCCCACCCCTGTCTACTTGGGTTACATATTGAGTAGAAACAACAACTATAAGAGTCTTTTCATTAACAAGATATAAATGCTTCTGAAGATGGATTAAGAACCCAACATAAAATACAACAAAATATTGCCATTTGGCAGCTGGTGGGTGGTCTGGTTTGTTAATTGTTCTAGAATAAGACTCTTACTGTCAAACTGGAAAAATGTGAAAACCAAACAACAATTATGGTCCAAGATAGGATATTTAATATGATCATTAAGAATGAGAAAGGACATTTGAAGAAGTAAAACACAAGTTAATGACTCTTTGGTGAATGTTCATGTTTAATATAATGGCTAATGGACTCACCTCTGCTAACCCCAAACCTGACATCTAAGCCAAATATTTAGCATGAAAGAAATGCTAATCGGCTGTGTTGAATTTGATCCCAGTGGAAATTTCATTTCTATTGTTTCTTAGAATAAGTGGATTTATGTTGGCTTCCATTGTTTAAGGAAATGCTTTGATTCCTTCGTACTTTCCAGCCAAAGGCACAGAGAAGACTTCCAGAGTAGGAAGCAAGCTGTGTGTGTGTCTCTGTTGCAAATTTGGGCAATTATTAAGAATTTTCAAATCAGAACTGATGTAGGAAAATGGAAGAAACTTTCTGATGAAAGAAGCAAGTAAAACCCAGAAGTTTGCTGCTGTAATCTGCTGAAATTTTAATTCTGCCACTTTCAGTGTTCCATATATAAAATACATGCATTTTTAATTAAATTTCTTGTTTATAATCGCTTATCAGAGAGAGATAAAGATAGATAAATAGAAAACTCCTATTGCATTTCTATGCCATGGAAATAATTTTGGTATTATTAAATATGGACATTTCCTTATATTTGTTTTGCAATCAATTTATCATCATAAATAGACATACATACATACATACAGTAGTAGGGCCATATCCAGTGCTTTAGGTCTATAAGGATATCATGCTCATTGTATAAATACTTGACCAAAACAAAGGAAAAGGGCACATTCTGTGCCAGGGAATGTGCTGGCAAGATCACTGGAAGTTGGTGTCATTGCCTGTCATTAAAGTGCTTGAAAGATTCGTGGTCATGAGATGTGAATGGTAAGAAGCCCATTTTCAAGAGAAGGAGGAGGAGGAAGAAGAAGAAGAAGAGGAGGAGAAAGCAACAGTAACAGCCACAGCAGAAGGGAAAAAAACGGAGGTAGGTGTGGGGAGAGAGAAAGAAAGAAGGAGGGAAAAAAAGAAAAAGAGTTGACTCCTACTAATCCAATCCCTGGCACAGGCAGGCTCCCCCACACCTTCGTGCTCTCGCCTCTGTGAGGAATACTGGCTCACCAAGCCAGCTCACAAGTTGTGTTTCTGTTCTGTCTCCAGCTCCTCTGTGTGTCAGTTGCATTTATGATTAGGACCAAGCAATCCAACACATAGTGATTCTCTAATGTGTCATGTCTGCTAGCTTTCTGTTTCTAATAGCCTGGTATCTTCATAATGGCAGAAATCCTGTGCCACAGTGCCTGGTAGTACTGTGTGAGCAATAAGTGCTCAGTTGGTCCACAACTTTTGAAAAGTTTCACTTTACTTATGTTGTTCCCCATTCACCCAGTTCCCCTCTTTATTTTTATTTTATTTTTTAAAGGGATTTATCTACTTATTTTAGAGAGAGAGAGAGAGAGAGCTTATGTGTGCACACATGCACTTGTGTAAGTGGGGTTAGGGAAGCACAGAGAGAGAGAGAGAGAGAGAATCTCAAGCAGATTCCCCACTGAGCACAGAGCCCTACACAGAAGGGGGTGGATCCCAGGACCCTGAGCTCATGACCTGAGCCGAAACCAAGAATCAGATGCTCAACTGACTGAGGCACCGAGGCACCCTCCCAGTTACTCTCTTTAGAGGTAACCATTACTAGCTTCTTGAATGTTTTTCCAGAGATAATCTGTGTATATTCAGGTGATTACATGTATGGTTCCCCTGCCCTCATTTTTACCCAAATGATATTCTGCATTTTGCTTTTTTTAACTTGAAAATATATCTTGATTTTTGTTGCACAGCAGAACATAAGGAGCTTCCTCATCTTTTCTTTAGAAGTCTCTTTAGCATTCTATTCCAATGTATGGAACATCATAATTTTTTAAATCAGCTAACTCTTGATGACTTTTAAGCTACTCTTGTTATCTTGCTATTTTGAATTTTACCATAGTTAATGAATAGACTTAAGAATATGTCATTTTACAGAGGTGTGAGTGTGTATGCAGGATGTGTGTGTGTGTGTATGTATGTGTAATTGGCTAGGTTAAAGATACGCATATTTTAAATGTTAGTAGTTATTACCAAATTCCCTCCCTAGAGGGATCAACTACATTCCAATCTGTAATGTATGAGAATGCACAAACAAGTCATGTCGTTAGATTTTTCATCTTTACAAATCTGACATTTGAAAAAAAGTATTTCAGTAAAATTTGAACTAGTGTTTCCTTTATTTCAAGTGGAGTAGAGTATCTTTTCATATGTTAAAAAGCTATTTTTATTTCCCTTCTGCGATCTCTCTGGTAATATTCTTTACCCATTTTTTTCTACTTATTTTGTTCTTTTTCTTATTGATTCTAGGAGATCTTTATATATGAGGGAAATGAGCCCTTTGTCAGTGTTAAGAATTGCAAGTATTTCCCAGTTTCTTATTTTATATAGCTGAGTCCAGCAATTCTTTATTTCATGGTTTGTATATATTGAGTTGTATTTTAAAAGGCTTTCTTTACTGTGAAGTTTTTTTTTTTTCCCAAAACTTTCTCTGTTCCTTCTCTTCATTTACTTTTAACTCTTTGATCCACCTGGAATTTATTTTGGTATAATTTGTGAGATCCTTTAATTTAAATCTGTTACATTAGTAACAGATACACAGTATTAGATGATTGCTCTGCATTGTCATAAAGTTATTTACCCTGTAAGTGATGTGTGTAGAAGCAACAATGTCTGTTAAAAGGAACAAAACTTATATCTAATAACAAAAATAAATCAGGGTGCCTAAGAAGGGTGTTAAACCCTTAAAGCACTACCTAAGAGATTATTAATTGTATAAACATTGTTCTACATGGTATAAGATTTCTATTATATCATTAAATCTCAATATTGCCACTTGAAATACTCATTTTGCATAATTTGAGTCTGAATTTAATTACACCTCTTAAAAACAAACTTTTTTTTTTCCAACTCTGTGTTTAATGTATTGGGTGAAGTAATTCCTATTGATCTATTTCAGGATTTTTTTCTATGTGAAAGAAGTCATTTTGTAAGTTCAGACCATACAGAAGCTTTCTGTAAGTTTTACCTTCACCAGCATGAGAGCACTGAATGGGTGCCACAGAGGAAAGATAGAGAAGCTCAACATGCAGATTTCAGGGCCAAAGGCAGAAGGAAAACTAATTTTATCCTTTTGGCAACTTTTACTGTACCTGATTAAGGAATTTGAAGTCAAAACAGATAATTTGACTGAGCAAAACATTTTAGATTTATGTCCACTTACAAGTGAGCACGATGTTGACTGTGTTTTTGTTGAAGCATAGAGCAAGACTGAAGTGGCGTTCCCACCGTGACATTTCATCCGAAGTTCAGCTTAACTGTAGAAAGTTATTTTAGAGATCATCTCTATCCAGTCTTCTCATTTTGCTGATCAAGTAATCAAGGATCAATAAGACCTGATAACATGTCTACAACAGACTTAATATTACTAGCGAATATCTTTAAAAGGAAGATCAGTTGACCCTTGAATAACATGGGTTTGAAGGGCACAGGTCCACTTAGATGTGGATTTCTTACAATACAGTACTGTGAATGTATTTTTTCTTATGATTTTCTTTAACAACATCTTCTTTTCTGTAGCTTATCTTATTGTAGGAATACAGTATATCTACCAACAGAATATATGTTAATCGACTGTTTATGTATTTCACAATGCTTCCAGTCAACAGTAGGCTATTGGTACTTAAGTTTTTGGAGAGTTAAAATTCATATGTGAATTTTCAGCTGGACAGGGGTTGGTGCCCCTGACTCCCCATCCATGTTGTTCAAGGGCCAAATGTATTTATGGATTGATAGGAGTACATAAAAATAGAGAAAGTAAGGAGAGAACATAAAAATCATTTAATCCATCATTCTTCCTAACAGAAGGTAAAAGGTGTTCCTTATAAAGAAAATATTTGAAATAAGTTTTCAAATATCAGAAAATTTTAGAGGCAGCCTTGAATGCTCAGTGAACTTATTTTGGGACAAACAAGAATGATTTTACTAGGTGAGGAGTAAGTACATGTGGAACATATTTCCTCAAAGTTCTCTCTGTTAAACTACAAAGAGATTGAGTTTATAGATGATTATAATTATTAAGAAAAACTAAAGTTTTTCTGAGTACATTTTTGACCTTTTGAGTTTAACTTCATGGAAAGTGATCACGGCTTTCCAGAATACATCATGTCAGGGACAGAATAATAGGCTGATTTAACTCAGTATGAAGTTTTCTTAATGAAAGTCAGTTTAAATAGAAATAACATTGTGACTTTCCCAGTCACCAAAAACTTCCTTTTAGAGTATTTATCCTTACAAATGAAAAACAAGTATTAGAAACAGTCAGAGATGAGTAAGATTCCTTTGCCCTAAGTGCCCATGTTATTACAAAAACAATAAAGTCAATTGCCCAATTTGGCTATTGGAAAGCTTTCAAGAAGCAAATTCAGGGATTATAAAAGTAATGATATTTTGAGAGTCAGAGTCCCATGGTGAAAACTAAAACCAGTAGAAATGTTTAAATACAGAAAGGTTTATGTTACAAATTCTTATCATTCATATGGTTGTATGAAGAAAGAAAACAGGAAACTTCTTGAAAAGTCATTGACTTTAGGCTCTAAATCCAAATGGCCTTTCAAGCCTTTCGAGCTAACTGGGGGGTTTAAAAACAAACGAAGATTGTTGTGCCACTAATTTCATAGCTTGAGATTTTTTTATCATTTGTTTATTAAATGGAGAGTGATGACATTTCAGGAAATTGAAGATAGATTGTGTTCAAAATATGAAAAAGGAAATACGAGAGCAAAATTTGTCTCTGAGATGTGGCCTTCATTTTATTCTCTTGTTCCTAACTTAGCTGACCAGGTCCTGTGGCATGTGGCCTTTAATATTCACATTCTGAATTCTACCAATCCAGAGTTTTCTTCTGAAGCAAAAATACTGCATATTTATATACTTAAGATCTCTGGTTACATTCTTTTGTCAAAGAAGACATTAGAGTTTCCTTCAAAATTTTGTTCTTACAATTTGGAGTCCACAGTGAATAGAATAGGTTTCTGTTTTTAAGGAGTTTGAAATTTCCCTTTACCCCGCTTTTGTTTCCATTCCTGCTATCAAAATACATCAGTCTTGTATATATTGTAGTGGTTATTGGATATTGGTTACACAGATCCAAGAGGTAATTTGGCAATACCACAATTTCTTTTTCTCTATATTTGGGAGCAAAATAATAAATTCTAGTCACTATTCCTTAGAGTCGATCTTTGTGAACTTTGACATTAGGGTTTTCTCTGTACTGCTATTGGAGTATAAACTGAGATAAGACCATATATTCAGAACAGAGTGCTAAGAGGAGATACAAAGATGGGTCTGGGCACAACTATTTATCTATATTCCTTAGAAATAAAGATGGCCTCAACTTGGCTAGCTTAATTTTGCACCCATAAAATGGTCATATTTTTCCTCCCACTCCATATCCAGAGTTCTTTTGTTTTCGTCTAGTTTGGTTTTCCTTCTTTTGTGTTTAATAAAACCCTCTCTGTGTTCAGGCTTAAGTATATGATTTCTTGGAAATCATGTAGATAATTGAGAAGTAGGATGAAGTAAGGACATTTTTATCTCCACTGATCTGAGGACTGACATTAGACAAACTATCTTTTATCAGAGTTGTCTTGGCATAATTTAAAGAGAGCAAAAGCAAAAATATAATGCTTGACCTTAATTTGTCTTCCCATAAACTATAACAAGATACGGAGTTTTTTCTAGGCTGAAACAAACATTCAGAATATGGCTGAATCTAGGAAGTTATATCCTGAGCATAATTAGGATGTTTCTTCCCAAGTTTTCATCTTACACTTGTTTTATTTCTTTTCTGTCTCTTTGTAGTCTTTGAAATGGTATTTGTAAATTTTTCCTTGCCAGGTTTGATCTCTCTTCCAATGTTGGAGAATTGGCCATGTGTGAGTTTTGGAAGCCAAAAAGGTCATATATATGCTTTTCCTCGTGGTTGGGATATAGGCCATTGGCTCAGGAACTCAGAGGCTCCTGCCTAGACTTTGAGAGGCAGATAATGTGGTAGAGCCAGGTTGCTTGGGTTTGAGTGCCAGTCCCTTACCAGCTCTAAAACCCTAGGCCCAGGGCTCAGTCTCTGTGAGCCTTGGTATTTTCACCTGTGAAGTGGGACGGTTACTTTCTTTAGGGTGTTATTCTGAGGATTAAATGAGATAGAGTTAACTTGCTTAGAATGGGGTCCCACAGGTAGTGAACTCACGGTAGGTGTGAGCAAGGGGCCAGCAGTGCAATGAAATGACAATTCAGAATTCATCTGGCAGAGACTGTGTCTCACACCTGGAGTCTGGTGGTGGCTTCACAGTCAAGAAATTCCTTTTATATGACCTTGGTTCTGGATTCCTTTGATTTTCTCCAGTTTCCAATCTTAGTCCTCCACCTTTGAGTCAATTTTATAAGCCACTAAATAACTGCCCAGAAAAATTTTCAGTTTTAACTTTGCCCATAAGAGTTCATACCCAGATGGATATGGTCTGTGACAATCGTGTGACTGCCTGACTATTGTGTCAGACTGTTTTACTTTGGTTTCATTTATATAGGCCTTTTCTCCATAAAGAGGGAGTTAGTGTCCTAACTACAAAGACCTTCCCTTGCATTTTGTTTGTGTCAGCCATAATTGCATGGTACTGGGCCCAGGACCAGCATGTGCTACCCTCTTTAGCACATGGGCTGGTACAGAGGAAGCCAGTGGAATATATAAAGGCATGTTGAAGAAATGAGTGAGCGGGTGGAGGATTCAACAGATGCTATCGACTCAGAGTTCTGACATTGTTGAGCTGTGCTATCAGCCCTTTAACAGCTGGGCTAACAGCCCTTTACAGCTGTGCTGTAAGCCCTTCTGGTTTAAGCAAAATAGAAATTCTTATATGTTATTTTTGATTTTTGATTTGGTATTCTGTAATTGGAGCCAGTACATCCTAACATTAAGATTGAATGTTTTTACCCCCTAGACGCTACCTTTTTTTGTTGTCGTTATCCATCTACTGCCAAAAGAAGTCCTTCTTGCCACTTTTTTGGAGAGGTGATTTACTAAGGGTGCTGTACAAAGTTCTGCTGGAAACAAATTTTACTTTGGAAAGATTCTGTATGGTTCATCAAAACCACTGTTTCCTTCTCTAATTCAGGAGAATCTCTTTTGGAGAACATCAGAACAGATGGGATGCGAGCAGATGAAATACAAGATGGAGGCAAATGCTGTTATTTCAAAATGGAACTTTTTATAAGGTTTTTGCATTAAGTTTGGTACAGTTTGCATTAGTCATTAAAGCATTATGAAGTTATTTGGATTATACATGTTTGGAAAATGAAAAACAAATGAAATGATTATTTTTCTGTTTAGTTCTGAACTGCCTCAATGGCCTGTCTTTACAGAGATATTTTATAAAACAGCTTGAGTCAACATAGAACAAAGAATTTGAGCATGCACAACAAATCCTTGGAAAGAGTTCTGTCAGAGCTTTCATCTGACTACCAACCTGAAATGCTGATCACCAGCCAGAAAATCTCTCCACATTGTCTCTCTTCAAGAGGTGTTAAATTGCAGCGCAGTCAGGATGAAAAAAAAAAAGTCAGATTTTAATAATATCCAGTCTTAGATGTCATCAGCAAGAAGACATTTCCTGGAAAAAACTATGTTATTACAGTATTATTATTTGTAATGATTTGCTTGATATGATCAACAAAGAAAAAGTAAATGATCCAAATGGGACTTCTGGCAGGGAACTGAATTCTCATTAAAAGAAGTATTAGTGGGCCAAACACATTTGAGTAAACACTGAAGATGAACTTGATTTAGAAAGGAGGAGCTGTTTGTGGAGACCACAAGAATTTGTAAGGCCAAGGAATTCCGGTTTCACCCACCAAGGGAGAATAAAACCAGGCTGACCTTTGCCAAATCTCTTGGCAGCCTTAGCCAAGATTTATATTTAAGGAATACTTAAAAGTCAAAATAACATAGTTTACATGATGTCATGTGCTTTATCATTGCCATCGTTTAGATACTCAGACAATGGCATAAACTTTGGAGCTCTGGCATCTCAGAAAAATACCAGGAAGCGTTGGGGATGGGGGTGGGGGTGGGGGGGAGAAGACCTCAGATTCATTGCTATGAGGTCATCAGCTTGAAAGGTAACCAATAAATCAGAGGCGACTGGCTGTGAAAATGTTGCCAGCTCAGTTTGCCAGTGAGAAAAATGCAATACAAAAATGTTAACCATGCCATTGATGGGGTAGTTATGAAAGAGACTAGAGAGGGTTCAACCAAACACATTCATTTCTACATTTTGGACAGTTGTTTTTTAAAAATATATAAGATGGGGGCTTTTAGGTGGCTCAATCGGTTGGGCCTCTGACTCTTGATTTTTGGCTCAGGTCATGATCTCAGGGTTGTGAGACTGAGCCCTGTGTTGGGCTCTGCACTCAGTGGGGAGTCTGCTTGGGATTCTCTTCTTCTCCCTCTGCCCCTCTCTGCCTTGTGTGCTCTCTCTCTCAAATAAATAAATGAATGAATGAATAAATAAATAAATAAATCTTTTTAAAAATAAAAATATATAAGATGAAAAAACAAGGAAAATTTGAGTTAGGTAAATGTCTGGAGATAGATCCCTGCCAGTTCCTGCCATAATATATGCCAATCTTAGTTTCTAAAAATCCTTGCATAAATGTAACATTTTCAATTCCCAGATGTTCAGTGATCTCATTCAAGTAATATTTGATCCAAATCACAAATGGAAGACATTAAACAATTTAGAATTACTTGTGATAGGGTATGAGCAATATTATTATTAAATAACTATGAAAGTACTGAAATATAACTTGACTGTTAATTGTTCTAATAAGAAGTTATTTTTTAATGGATAAAAGTAAGATATATTTTTTCCTGCCCTAATTTTAAATATAAGGATAAATTATGCTGCTGCTTATCTTCCAGGTTTTATGCTAGGAGATGAGTCAAACTTGAATAATACTCCATTCATCTGCAGAAAAGCAGTAGGTTCACTCAGAGGCTTGCTCCAGTGATTAAACTTTATGCAACAGTGCCTCCAAATCAGTTGAGGAGATGGATTCAAAAGTCATTCTTATATAGGGAATATGGTATGGATTTGCAAATTAGATCCATAGGCTGGTGGGGGTACAGAGGGTGTGAGATACAAAGAAACTTAGGACCACTTTTTCAGTGTCTTTAAAGTTTATGATTGATGGATTACAGTGGATTACCAGAAGGTGGGCTTCTCTATACTTCTGCGCAAATTTCTTTTTAGGGCAGTCCAAGACACTCAGAAAATTAGACTGTTTTACAGATGTAAACCTCCTTCCTCTCTCTTTCCCACTCCTCCCTCCCAGTTCATATTCCCTTTATGCCCTGTACAGAATGGAGTTCCGGGTGGATGCCAAATTTGAGTATCTTTCTCATCCCTTAGAGCAAAACACTCTGCACCTGGTCCCATTTTAAACAATACCTTGCACCTAGTCCAGATCCTTTGACTAATATTTGTTGAATTGGAATATAAATTACCAAGGGGATCTAGACCTTTGAGGCCTACTGACCCATTTCATTTATTAATGCTATTTGCAGAGTATTTTGGCTCTGGTACTGTTAGATGAAGACCAGCTGGCCCAGGTGAGGGTAATTATGGTTGCAGTCCAAACCTGGAGCTACCAGAAACCCATAGGGCAACATGGAAAGAGAAGTTTGGGAGTTCATCCCTCTTGAGTGGTTGTTTCACTTTTGAAGGGGAACAATGTACTCTTTCTACAGATGGAAAAATAGTTCTGAATTTCAGAATTCACTTGGGTAGTTTTTTAACACCTGTATTAGGAACTCAAAACTTTCCACATTCTTCTGCATTTTCTTCACCTCATATAACACATGGTCTTCCCTCGGGGGCTTTCCTCTTCTCACTATGCTAAACTCAAAGCTCATTTGTCACCTTTGTCACATACCATCTTGGGAGGGTTTCCCTTTTCGGGGTTGGGACTCTGCCTGGAAGAGGACAGGTAGATGTCCTCTTAGAAACTTCTGTTACCATATTTCATTGATTCTTAGGCACACATTGTTTTCATATTTGTATCTCTGAAACAGATGTGTGTTTCAATCTGTGGTATTTTATATTCAACAAAATACAGCATAACAGCCAACACTTTCTGGTAACAGCAATAACACTATGTCTTTGGCAGTTCCTAAAATTACTTTGGGATCTATAGTTATGGTACTCTAAAATGCCTCTCCAGGATTATCTGTGTCTTGTATATTCAGAGCCCTGTGAATCACTGTATGACTTTTGATCCTTTTAAGGTTCTTTGACTTAGATTAGGAGAGTATAGTTGCTAAATCAATAAAGTGCTGTTTTTTGTTTTGTTTTGTTTTTGTTTTAAAAGGCAAGCTACTCATTCTTTGCCTATTTTTAAAAAAGATTTTATTTATTTATTTGACACAGAGAGAGTATGAGCAGTGGGAGCATCCCACAGAGGGAGAAGCAGACTCCCCACTGAGCAGGGAGCCTGATGCGGGACTCAATCCTGCAACTCCAGGATCATGACCTGAGCTGAAGGCAGTGCCTTAACCAACCAAGCCATGCAGGCACCCCATTCTTTGCCTATTAGAGCCACCACACAAAATAATTATAGCTAATATTTATTTAGTGTTGACTATGCTGCAGGCGCTGTTCTAAGAACTGGAAATGTGTTAAATTACTTAATCTGCATAACGACCGAATGAGGAAGGTAGTCTATTTAGCAGATGATGATGTTGAAGCTCAGAGAGTTTATTAACTAGCCTTAATATGAAGTATTGGAACAGGGACTTGAACCCAAGCAGCCTGGCTCCAAGGTCCATGCTCTTATCATTCATCACTGCCACAGAAAGATTTATGGTAATGTAATTGACAAGCAGATAGGCTGCAAGGAGTCCATCTTCAAGCCAATCCCACTGAGATTACTGCTGAGAATATTGTTATTATATGAGTCAATTTATGTCCTGAGATCTGAACTTCAGGACTATAAGAAAAGCTCAGCAGATTTTAGTGTCCACCTGAAAAACACACCATGATGACTGACACCCAGAGACAGACACCTGGGTCAGGGTGTGGACGACCAGAATATAGCAGCTGCCTTCATTTTAACTTCTTTTATGCTTGAGTGTTCTTGTCAACTACCACTCTTCTGTAATTGCCTTAACAATCCAACTCTGTTACTCAGTTTTCTTCAGGTTTGTCTGAAAGTAGGTGCTGGTTGTTTTTGCAGGTCAAATCCAACCTCAAAGGGCGAAGATTTTTTCACCACTGAAAAATTTCAAAAGAATATACTGTATTCTGTGAAGGTAATTCTAAAAGAAGCTCTCTTGAATTGTTTAAACAACAACAACCTCACTGGAAAAAATATATATTCTCTTGGACTGACCATTTAAATGTAGACATGCTCTTCAGCTGTTTGAGTCATGGATAATTGTTTTAAAATACAATTTGTTTTGTTTAGAGCTCATAGAGCACTTAAAGCAGGATTAACCTCTATATATTGCAGACATGATTAAGCTACATTTCTATCATTTGCTTGAATTCTTCCCAGAAAGTGATATAGTATAGTTTTGGTCTTCAGCATTATGACTCTGAAGCCACCGTTCGTAAGGATATAGTTTGTTTTTATAGCTTAAAATTCTGTTTGCATGTAATTATTCTGGATCAAGATTGTGCTATAAAACAGATTCTCCTGAACAAAGGGAAATTCCAACTTACCCTATGAATTACAAATAGATTCTATTTGAATAACTGACCAGTATGCCAGTTTTTTCTCTTTATTTCTTGTTTCACTTTATTAATCTATTAATCTGTCAGCTAAGATTTCAAAAAGCTCCATTAAAACATTAATACATTTTTGGGTGTATTTTTATTATTATTTCATAGAGCTGTTAGTCCTGCCTTCCAGGTGCATTAAGAGGTACAAAGGATTCTTTTGGGACCCACTAGCTCCACCCTTTCCTCTGGGCCATGGGACAGGATAATGGAGTCAAGATCACAAGGGAATTTGTAACGGCTGGTTGAACATTGGAGTGTGGCCCAAACTCCCTTTTTCTATTCCCCCAAAACTGTATAGTTACCCCTATTTGTTAAGCAGGTCTTCTGGGATCCAAACAAAAAATTACATAAAAGCCTCAAGAACATTTTTATAACCATTCGGTTGTCAAATTCATTCTTGAATTGGGCATTATTTCCAATCAAGTAAATACTGGCAAAAAATTCTTCAGTTGTCAACTGTGTATTAAGCACTCACCACAGACTCTGCACTGGTCGTGGAGCCTGCTCAAGATTCTCTTTCTCTCTCCTGTCCCCCACCCCTCCCGCACAGGCATACTCTCTCTCTCAAAAACAACAAAACCCCACCACATATGCCACACATAATAATTGCATTTTATTCTGATTTCTGTGATTCAGAGCATTGGATCTTGCTGTTAATCTGAACAACATTTTGGATTTCATCATATCTGAATATGGGGAGTGGTGAGCTGGTTGTTTCTTTGTAATAATTTGTAAGTTTTTAAAAGATGTAGGTCTCAGTCAACTAAAAACTGTGTGAAATTTATTTGAAATCATTATATACATTATGTGTTTGTAATTATGTTAATATTCCTTATTAGAGTCTCCCAAAGCACTGTTTTAGACCCGAAACGAGAATGATTTACTTACCTAATGCAAATAACTTACTGAGAGAGAAACCTGTAAGGAAGTAAGAAAATGGCAAGAAAATCTGGCAAAGACATGGCTTTCAGTGGAGCCCCAGGGTAGCTCTGGAGTGTGAATGGTACTCTAGGATTATCTCACCTTGCAGCAAGGGGACTATGCTTTTTCAGCTCAGCCAGTGGCTGCGCCCTGCCCTGTGGGGAGTGGGAGGAGGCACTTACCCCCTTAGGCAATTCTTGGTGAGGACAGTTCTCCAGAGAAGGGGACAACTGTGAGCCAGCAGCAGCCAGCACTCACTTACTGGGGGCACCTGCCTTGTAAATGGACGGGACAAGGCACCAACGCTGTCCGCTACAGGCTTCCAAGGAAGCTCTATAGGGAGCAATCAGCAGTAATCTCAAAAAAAAAAAAAAAAAAAGAGAAACTTTGATTTGGCTGCCCTTTGAGATGTGGAATTATTTTTCAGTTTACCCAATCCTTAATTGACTATTGATCAGAGAAAGTGAATCTGCACAGTTATATCTATAAATCAAAAGAAAAGGGGGAATTGAATAGACTTATCATCAGACTTTTGAGAACTTGAAGTTTTTTGCTAATTTAGTAAATCTGAGCTCAAACTGTCCCTCCATCTCTAAACTATTTTGGTTTTCGGGAAGTAAAGACTATTTGGGAATGAAAATAGCAACAGTAACTGACATTCATTTTATTAAAAACTAAAAGCCATGCATTAAAAAAAGAATTATTTTCTTTATTTTATAAAAGGGAGAAACAACTACATGCTCATTGGTACAATTGGAAACATGAGAGGTATTTAGAGAATGAGACAGTCATTTCACCTCTGCCCATTGCTGAACCCAGCCTTCTGAGGTTTCCAGTGTGAAAGTTTTAGTATTATTCTACTCATTTAACTGTGTGAATATAAACCAGAAAACATGTAGCACACTTAGGGCTTTCTTTTCTGTTTTATAATAAAAGGGCATCCTTTTTCTAAAAGGTAGATATATGACATAATCTGGCCCTGGTTCAGTGAGCAGACTTTGTGCTTCACTTTGCTTTGGAACGATAAAAAGTTGAATTCCCTGCTTAGGGGCCCAGGGGTAAGGGTTACAGGATATCTCGTCAAGAAGGAAATGTGGCCTTTGGACAAGGTAAGAGGACAAAAATAGCTGCATTGGGAGGTTGATGCCCTTGACCATAAGGTCAGGCTTTAGAGTTTTGAACTCTTCAAGAATATTTTGAAGTCATTTTGGCAGAGAGCTAAAGTTTTTAATTTTTATGTTTTGGACTAGATCTTTGGAAAGCTATCTGTTGTTTTTCCTTATGACTCTATGCAGAGGCAGCATACATGTTTTCCTTCTTGAAAACCAGCTGGTGTTTTACTTTAGTAGACATTACCCCAGATAGCAGAATGAAGGAACTGTTTAGAACTGAAAGGGGGCCAGGCAGACATGGCATGTCTTCTCCAGGCCATCCGGCATAGGGCACTTGTCCTCATCCACACAGCAGGCTCTGGTAGGTGTTGATTTTCTCAATGGCTGGTCCAAACTTCTGGCACTCCACTGGGCCCCACTTATGTTTAGTCCTATTTTACTGATGAGGAAATCGAGGCTCAGAGAGTTCTATAAATCGCCCAAGGTCAGAGTGTGGTAGAGTCCTATGAGTCTAGGTTTGTTTAGCTCCAAATACCATATTTTCCATTGCATCACACTGACTCTCACAATCCTGTGCCAGGACTTTACCAGCTAGTGAGAATTGTAGGTCTCTATCCCACATGAAGAAACTCTAACCAGACAGAGTGACTGAGAGCAAAATAAGGTGAAGAAATATTGAAGTGGGAATGGTGTAAAGGGGTAGGATTACAAGTCCAAGCCAACTAGGATTTTGGGGCAGCTGTGTGTTCTTAGATAAGTCACCTAACCTAATTAGCCTCAGTACCCCCCCATTTGTTAATTAAGGCTGTGATCAATAGAAATAGAAGTTCTAGTACTAATTTTCTGATTCTTGTCAAGAAAATTTGGAGGGAATAATCAATGAACTTGGTCTTGAAGGAGGAAGTGGTGGAGTGGGGGAAGGACAGTTCAGATTAGGGGAGTAACTTAAGCTTAGAGGTGAGTTCAGATAAGCTGCATTCTTGGGGGCGGTAATGGACCCCCACACGTTCACTCATAAAGCAAAGCCCAGTGCTTGGACAGGAGGTGAGAGAAATGCCAATGTAGAAAGTATCTGGAGATCCATGCTTAGCCCACTCATTGTTCTGGGTCACATCTCATTTTTTGTCCAGTTAAAAGCTTCCTTATTATCCACTCTGAGAAGGTGAGGTGGAAATTTAATAATTCTTAAGGTATAATGACCTATTTGGGAATACATGCTAAATACTACGGAGAAGGCTTTTCTTACTGACAAGAGATCAAATGTGTGCTAGGGATTTGAGGAAACTCCCGCACATGAGCTGAGTTATGAAGTTTGAGCTTCTCTCTCCTATTATCTTTGTTGGGTGTTCAATTCTATTCAAGCAACAATTATGAAGGGCTGATTATACACCTGACATTATGGATAAAAGCAGCCCACAGCCTCATTAGTCATGGAGTAAAGGATATGCAACTCCTAGAGAGCACTATGAACATGGATGGGGCTATGGGAAGTGAGCGATTATAGAAGGCCAGAGGGACTGGGGAAGACTTCCTACAGGGTGGGATAGTTGAACTATACCTTGAAAGAAAAGAAGAGGAGGGAGGGAATGGCAAACCAGATGAAGGAAATAGAATGAGGAAAGGCACAGAAGCAGACATGCACAAGTTGATCAGGGAATGACAAGACTCATCAGACATGGTGGGAGCAGTCCATGGAGAGTTGGAGGAGAACATAGCTGAACGTGAAATAAGGTCTCATAATGACTCTGCATGTTCTGAGAAGAAAGTTTCTGAATTTTAAAAACATGCTAATTACTATACCATCTCCTGAGACTTAGTGTGGGATTCTGGGAATGTGTCTGGGTTTGTTAGAGCAGTTATGGGTCAGAAAAAATGGAATAAAGTGGCTGATTGAAATCAAATGGCGAACTGAACTCATTTATTGAAGGGAATGGGCTGAAAACAGAAGGGTTTATAGACTTTGGAATAAAATTATATTTAAAAAAAATGAGTTCAGGTTCAGTCAGAATTACCAGAGACTGATTCAGTAGTTCAGGAAATAAGTTGACTTTTATCTTGTTCTGTGTTGAAATCTTGTTAATTAGACTTAAATTAAAACTAAATGGACATGCCCTACTTTAAAAAAGGCACAGTTAAATGACGGGTGTTCCGTAGAATAAAGTTGGGTTAGTACAATTGTTCTTGAACTGTCAAGGTTGAAGCCTGTCCCCTTAGGAAAATAATTTCAATAAATATCTAAAAGGTGATTCATTGTTTAAGAGTTGACATTTGCGTCTTTCATCCATTTTGAGTTTATTTTTGTGTGTGGTGTAAGGAAATGGTCCAGTTTCATTCTTCTGCATGTGGTTGTCCAATTTTCCAAACACGATTTGTTGGAGAGACTATCTTTTTTCCATTGGACATTCTTTCCTGCTTTGTCAAAGATTAGTTGACCATAGAGTTGAGGGTCCATTTCTGGGCTCTCTCTTCTGTTCCATTGATCTGTGTGTCTGTTTTTGTGCCAGTACCATACTGTCTTGATGATGACAGCTTTGTAATAGAGCTTGAAGTCCGGAATTGTGATGCCGCTGGCTTTGCTTTTCTTTTTTAACATTCCTCTGGCTATTCGCAGTCTTTTCTGGTTCCATACAAATTTTAGGATTATTTGTTCCATTTCTTTGAAAAAAGTGGATGGTATTTTGATAGGGATTGCATTAATGTGTAGATTGCTCTAGGTAGCATTGACATCTTCACAATATTTGTTCTTCCAATCCATAAGCATGGAATGTTTTTCCATTTCTTTGTGTCTTCCTCAATTTCTCTCATGAGTATTTTATAGTTTTCTGAGTACAGATTCTTTGCCTCTTTGGTTAAATTTATTCCTAGGTATCTTATGGTTTTGGGTGCAATTGTAAATGGGATCAACTCCTTAATTTCTCTTTTTTCTGTCTTGTTGTTGGTGTATAGGAATGCCACTGATTTCTGTGCATTGATTTTATATCCTGCCACTTTACTGAATTCCTGTATGAGTTCTAGCAGTTTTGGGGTGGAGTCTTTTGGGTTTTCCACATAAAGTATCATATCATCTGCAAAGAGTGAGAGTTTGACTTCTCCTTTGCTGATTTGGGTGCCTTTTATTGCTTTTTGTTGTCTGATTGCTGTGGCTAGGACTTCTAGTACTATGTTGAATAGCAGTGGTGATAGTGGACATCCCTGCCGTGTTCCTGACCTTAGGGGGAAAGCTTTCAGTTTTTCCCCATTGAGAATGATATTCGCTGTGGGTTTTTCATAGATGGCTTTTATGATATTGAGGTGTGTACCCTCTATCCCTACACTCTGAAGAATTTTAATCAAGAAAGGATGCTGTGCTTTGTCAAACGCTTTTTCTACATCTATTGAGAGGATCATATGGCTCTTGTTCTTTCTTTTATTAATGTATTGGATCACATTGATTGATTTGTGGATGTTGAACCAACGTTGCAGCCCAGGGATAAATCCCACTTGATTTTGGTGAATAATCCTTTTAATGTACTGTTGGATCCTATTGGCTAGTATTTTGGTGAGAATTTTTGCATCTATGTTCAGGGATATTGGTCTGTTATTCTGCTTTTTGATGGGGTCTTTGTCTGATTTTGGGATCAAGGTAATGTTGGCCTCATAAAATGAGTTTGGAAGTTTTCCTTCCATTTCTATTTTTTGGAACAGTTTCAGAAGAATAGGTATTAATTCTTCTTTAAATGTTTGGTAGAATCCCTCTGGGAAGCCATCTGGCCCTGGGCTCTTGTTTGTTGGGAGACTGTTGATTACTGCTTCAATTTCCTTAGTGGTTATAGGTCTGTTCAGGTTTTCTATTTCTTCCTAGTTTAGTTTTGGTAGTTTATACATCTCTAGGAATGCATCCATTTCTTCCAGATTATCTAATTTGCTGGCATATAGTTGCTCATAATATGTTCTTATGTGAGAACATATGTGAGACAGGAGTTCATCAAAATCCTAGAGGAGAACACAGGCAGCAACCTCTTCAACCTCAGACACAGCAACTTCTTCCTAGAAACATCGCCAAAGGCAAGGGAAGCAAGGGCAAAAATGAACTATTGGGACTTCATCAAGATAAAAATCTTTTGCACAGCAAAGGAAACAGCCAACAAAACCAAAGACAACCGACAGAATGGGAGAAGATATTTGCAAATGACGTATCAGATAAAGGGCTTATATCCAAAATCTATAAAGAACTTATCCAACTCAACACCCAAAAAACAAATAATCTAATCAAGAAATGGGCAGAAGACATGAACAGACATTTTTCCAAAGAAAACATCCAAATGGCCAACAGACACATGAGAAAGTGCTCAACATTGCTTGGCATCAGGGAAATCCAAATCAAAACCTCAATGAGATACCACCTCACACCAGTCAGAATGGCTAAAATAAAAACTCAGGAAATGACAGATGTTGGCGAGGATGTGGAGAAAGGGGAACCCTCCTACACTGTTGGTGGGAATGCAAGCTGGTACAGCCACTCTGGAAAACAGTATGGAGGTTCCTCAAAAAGTTGAAAATAGAGCTACCATACGACCCAGCAATTGCACTACTAGGTATTTACCCCAAAGATACAAATGTAGTGATCTGAAGGGGTACGTGCACCCCAATGTTTATAGCAGCAATGTCCACAATAGCCAAATATGGAAAGAGCCATGATGTCCATCAACAGATGAATGGATAAAGAAGATGTGGTATGTACACACACACACACGCACACACACACACACACACGATGGAATATTATGCAGCCATCAAAAAGAAAAACGAACTCTTGCCATTTGCAATGACATGGATGGAACTAGAGGGTATTATTCTAAGCGAAATAAGTCAATCAGAGAAAGACGTATCATGTGATCTCACTGATATGAGGAATTCTTAATCTCAGGAAACAAACTGAGGGTTGCTGGAGTGGTGGGGGGTGGGAGGGATGGGATGTCTGGGTGATAGACATTGGGGAGGGTATGTGCTATAGTGAGTGCTGTGAATTGTGTAAGACTGATGAGTCACAGACCTGTACCTCTGAAACAAATAGTACATTATATGTTAAAAGAAAAAAAAAAAGATAGTAGGAAGGGAAAAATGAAGGGGGGGAAATTGGAGGGGGAGATGAACCATGAGAGACGATGGACTCTGAGAAACAAACTGAGGGTTCTAGAGGGGTGGGGCGGTGGGTTAGCCTGGTGATGGGTATTAAAGAGGGCACTTATTGAATGGAGCAATGGGTGTTATATGCAAACAATGAATCATGGAACACTACAACAAAAACTAATGATGTAATGTATGGTGACTAACATAACATAATAAAATTTTTAAAAAGTTGACATTTGCATTTTTATGTTTATCTGAGGGCTCAGAAAATTATTTACTAGACTCAGTTAATTTAGTCAATGCCTATTCATTCATCAAGCATTTATACCGAGTCCTTAGTAGGTACTGTTGGTAGGAGGAAGAGAGTCATAGAATCTCCATAGTTAGAATGTCATGAATTTGCTTAAGAATCACAGTAGGAAGATTAAAAAAAAAAAAAAAAATGAAGGGACACTGAAAGATTTTACTTGAAGTATAGTTGACATACAATATTATATTAGTTTCGGGTGTACAGTATAGTGAGTATAGTGATTCAACATTTATATATGTTAAAAAATAACATGTTAAGTATAGTTACCATCTGTCACCATACAGATTCCCTAGGCTGTACTTGTCATCCCTGTGACTTATTTTATAACAGGAAGTTTATACCTCTTAATCCAAAATTAATGGACAGTTTTAAATATTATGTGAGTGTATACAAATTTCATTTTATCAACCACATATATAAATGTGAGAGGGATTGGCGGAAAGAATCACCATCCACATCATATTCCAAGATAAAAATCTGAATCATTCTTAGGTTTTTCTCTCCTTCATTTGCTCCCAAACCACCATACTCAACCTACCACTCATTCAATCTGTCACCAAGATCTACTTAGTCTACTGCTGAAGTGTAATCTGTGTTTTTTTTTCTTTCCTGTTATCTCTGCCTTTGGCTTGTTACCTAGATCAGTGGTTCTCAAAGTATGTTCTCAAGATCCCTGGGGTTCCTGAAACCCTTTTGGGGGGATCTGTGAGATCAGAATATTTTCATTGTAATAAACAATATTTTATTCATACACTCTCATTCTTTAAGGAGTACAAAGTGGTGTTTTTCAGAAGCTACGGAAACTATGATGATGTCACATCTCTGATGGCTAATGGAATATATACTCATGTGTTGTGTTTTAGAATTCCTCAGTTTTAATGTGTACCACAGTAAAAATAGATAATATAACCCATGTAAATGAAAGCTCTTTGCTGTCCTCAGTAATTTTTAAGAGGGTCACGGGGTCTTGAGACCAATAATGTGAGAATCACTGGCCGATGAATGTCTCACCTAACAGGTCCTGCCACTTCTCATGCTTCTCCAGTCTCATCCCTTCCCCTGAGCATCTCACTTTGTCCTCCATGCAGGCCATAGAGTTACCTTTCTGAAACATAGGTCTTGTACTTGCCTTGAGCTTAGAAACATCCAAAGGCTTCACATTTGACACCATAGACTAGCAGTAGAAGGTTGTCACGGTCTGGCCTAAATCTTCTTTACCAGGTTCCATCTCCTACCATATACCATACCACCTGCACCCTAGCCATTTAGCACTAAAGGTGGCTAAAGACAACAATTCAACAAGAATGCTTTTTTATTTTTTGTTTGTTTATTTTTTTCTTAAAGATTTTATCTATTCATTTGAGAGAAAGAGCATGAGCTGGGGGAGAGGCAGATAGAGAAGGAGGCAGACTCCCCACTGAGCAGGGAGCCTGATACGGGGCTTGATCCCAGGTTGGGATCATGACCCGAGCCAAAGGCAGACACCTAACCAACTGAGCCACCCAGGTGCCCATTTGTTTGTTTGTTTATTTATTTATTTATTTATTTATTTAAAAGATTTTATTTATTTGACAGAGAGACACAGCGAGAGAAGGAACACAAGCAGGGGGAGTGGGAGAGGGAGAACCAGGCTTCCTGCTGAGCAGGGAGCTCGATGTGGGGCTCGATCCCAGGACCCTGGGAGCATGACCTGAGCCGAAGGCAGACGCTTAACGACTGAGCCACCCAGGTGCCCCTCATTTGTTTATTTTTTAAGCAGGCTTCACACCCAGCATGGAGCCCAATGCGGGGCTCAATCACACGACCCTGAGACCATGACCTGGGCCAAGATCAAGAGTCAGATACTTAACCGACTGAACCACCCAGGTGCCCTGAGAATGCTTTTTTAATACCTTCTCAAACAAAACGAACCATTTCTTTGTTTATTACAGCTCTATTCACAATTGTCAAGATGTGGCAATGTCCACTAATTGTCCTAAATGTCCATTGACAGATGACTGAATAAAGAAAATTTGGGGGGGTGCCTGGGTGGCTCAGTCATTGGGCGTCTGCCTTCGGCGCGGGTCCTGGTCCCAAGGTCCTGGGATCAAGCCCCACATTGGGCTCCCTGCTCAGTGGGGAGCCTGCTTCTCCCTCTCCCACTTCCCCTGCTTGTGTTCCCTCTCTTGCTCTCTCTCTGTCAAACAAATAAAATTTAAAAAAAAAGGAAATTTGGTATAAATACAATGGTGTATTGTTCAGCCTTAAAAAAGAAAAATTCTTCAATATGTGATAATATGGATGAACTTTTTATAAATAAAATATAAATTTGTTTTAAAGATTTTATTTTTAAGTAATTTCTATATCCAACACAGAGCTTGAATTTACAATCCTGAGATCAAGAGTAGCACACTTGGGGTGTCTGGGTGGCTCAGTCATTAAGCATCTGCCTTTGTCCTGGGATCGAGCCCCGCAATGGGCTCCTGCTCAGCGGAAAGCCTACTTCTCCCTCTCCCACTCCCCCTGCTGTGTTCCTGCTCTCGCTGTGTCTCTCTCTGTCAAATAAATAAATAAAATCTTTAAAAAAAAAAAAAAAGAGTTGCACACTCTACCGACTGAGCCAGCCAGGCACCCCAACATGGATGAACTTTAAGGACATTGTGCTAAATGAAATAAACCAATCACAGAAGTATAAATATTGCATGATTCCACTTATATGAGTTATCTGAAATCAAATGTATGGAATCAAAGAGTGGAATGGCACTTGCCCCTGGCTGGAGGGAGAGGGAAATGGGGAGTTACTAATCAACAGGCATAATATTTCAGTTAAGCAAAGTAAGTCCTAGAGGTTTTCTGTACAATTTTGGATCTATAGTCAATAATATTGTACTGTACTCTTAAAAAATTTGTTAAGAGTGTAGATCTCATGTTAAGTGTTTTACCACAACAAAATAAAATAATAAAATCTTAAATTATTGCCAAATAAAAAAGACCAGCTTCAGAATCTGTGTTCCCAAAGTATAGCGTTTACACCTTTGTCATTTATCATAGTCTGACTTGTATAGTGACGGGGTAAACATGTCCTCACAAATGCTTAGTACATCTTCTTGAAAGCATCTTGTTGAATAATGAAGGGATAAATCCTTGCAATAACTAGATTCTGTTATCTGTGTATGAAAGCATTTTGTAGTAGGTACAGTCAGTGATAAGATTATTAAGCCTGGTTTTTGAACCTATTTACCTTATGAGACATAGAAGGACATTAATCTCATTATTTATAAACCTGTCTTTAAAACAGCATTACTCAGTCTGATTACTCACTTTGTTTATCAAATTAGGTTCTAAATGGCTTTGATCTTTTTTCAATCATATATTCATCTGGAAAGCATGAAGATTTGCCACCACCTAGGTTATTAAAATGAATTGTGTCATATGACCCTGGACTTAATTACAGTTCTGTTCCGTTCTGTTCAGTAAGCACTTATTGAGTTAGCAGCTCTGTAGGTAGCTGCAGATGGAGATGAGTGATACATGGCTCCTGCCTTTGAGAAGCTCACAGGCTAATATGGAAAACATAGATAAACACACCAACACTATACTCATCATGATAAGGGCAATAATAAGGGAAAGAGGTAGGACCCCCCCCCCCAAAATGATTAATTCTCTCTTAGGTTGCTAGTGATGTGATGATAAGGAAAAAGTTTTCAGAGAATGCATCCCTCAAGCTAGGGTCTTGAGGAATTGGAACTTTTTCAATGGTTGGGTGAAGGTTTCAGGGAGGAGGACACTTGTCTCAAGGGAAGTGGTTTAGAGGAAACCGTTGGAGGGGAATGAATAGCAATGAGTCGAGAGCTTGGCCATGAAGGTCTCATTTTTCATGTTTGGACTTGATTCTGTGAGTCCTAAAGGATTCCAAGTGAAGAATTATAAAATTATTTGGAGTAATGACAGCAGGATTGAGTTAAGTGTGTGCCTGCTAAGGGTACTACTTTGGAGGGCCCACACTCATTCAAGTATTTAAGTTTTGGTATATTTATTTTGAAAAATCAGGCTACAGCACTTTAGATCTTATTTCATAAATGTATGTTTTTAAAAAGGGTAATTTCTTACCCTAAGGCTTTCATTTATTTTACAAATATTTGTTGAGCTCTTACCATGTATCAGACACTCTTCTGTGTACTTGGGAAACATCAGTGAGCAAAATAGACAAAGATGCCTGTCCTCATGCATTGTGTATTCTAGTTTTCTTAATCCATAGTCGGTGTTGAGGATTTGGGTGAACACACTATGCAGATATTTGGGTGGGAAGGGGACAGTGAAGTTAAAGCACAGTAAGTAACTGCTCTTCCCCTCTTCCCTAAGGAACTCCTTCCTGAGAGGTATGCTTTTAGGAGGGTGTTGAGGTGAAAAAAGTGTGGCAAGCCAGGAGGTCAGGGGCTACAATAGGCATTTGCTTTTTCTCCTAACCACCTCATCAGTGATTTAAAAAAAAAAAAAGTCCTTGTTGTTGTTAGAACAGTTTGAGATGTGCAGAATAATTGAGAAGATAGTATAGAGAATTCTCATGTAACCTTACCCAGTTTCCCCTATTTTAACACCTTACGTTATTAGTATGGTGCCTTTGTTACAATTAATGAACCAATGTCGATACTATTATTATTCACTTAAGTTCTTACTTTATTCAGATCTCATTAGTTTTTACCTAATGTCTTTTTTCCTGTTCCAGGATTCCACCCAGAATGCCTCATTAAATTTAGGGGGTGCCTGGGTGGCTCAGTTGGTTAAGCATCTGCCTTCGGCTCAGGTCATGATCTCAGGGGTCCTGGGATCGAGCCCTGCATCAAGGCTCCCTGCTCAGTGGGGAGTCTGCTTGTCCCTCTCCCTCTGCTGCTCCCCCTGCTTGTGCTCTCTCTCAAGTAAATAAATAAAATCTTAAAAGAAAAAAAAAAAGAATGCCTCATTAAATTTAGTAGCCATCTCTTAGGCTCCCCTTGGCTGGAGAGTTTTTCAGCTTTCCTAGTTTTAGAGAGTTTTGAGGAGTACTAGTGAGGCATTTTGTAGAATGTCCTTCCATTGGGATTTACTTTATGTTTTTCTCATGATGAGATTGGGGTATAGTTTTTTGGAAGGTAGACCACAGATGTGCAGTACCATTCTTATGACATCATATTGAGGGTCCATGCTGCCATCATGACTTACCACTGTTGGTGTTGACCTTGGTCACTTTGCTGAGCTAGTGTCTGTCAGTTTCTTCACAGAGAAGTTACTTCTGCTCCTCCATTTCCACGCTGTCCTCTGGAAAGGAAGTCACTGTGAGCAGCCCACACTTAAGGAGTAGGGAGTTATGCTTCACCTCCGTTAGGACGGAATAGCTACATAAATTCCTTGGACTTCTGCACAAGAAATTTGTCTCTTCTCCCCCACTTATTTATTTATCATCAGTGATTTTTTTTTTTTACAATTACCATGAATCACATACTCCGTAAACAGATACTGAATGCCTACTATATGCAAGGCATTAACAACACATTTTTAAAAAGATTTATTTAAGAGAGAGAGTGCATGGGCATGTGCGTGCACAAGTGGGGGAGGGGCAGAAAGAGAGGGAGAAGGACAGAATCTCAAGGACTCCCTGCTGAGCACATAGCCCCATAAGGGGATCGATCCCATCATCCTGAGATCACTACCATGACCATGATCATGATCTTGATCAAAATCAGGAGTCAGTTGCTTAACTGACTGGACCACCCAGGTGCCCTCTAATAACACATTTTTACTGAACAATATTTATTTTGGTTTTCTCAGAAACAACTACCTAGAAATGGAGAAATCTGATTTCCTGCTTTGCCTCTGACATTACCTTCCTAGGAGGTTTCGTGCAAGTAATTTCACACCCAAGCCTCAGTGTCTTCTTTTGGAAAATTAGATGGTTGAAAGGGGTTAATTCGAACATTTTTTTTCCAGGTTTAAAATTGTAGGATTATATAATATATTCAAAGAAACAGGCTTCAAGTTGTCTGCAGAAGGGAATTATTAATATCTGCCGTGGGCTGGCCCACCTCAAATGAAATCTGTGTGTAAAATCTTCCTTGTCTCTTGCCTCAGGGAATGTATCTTTTGTCTGGTATATTTTCTTATGACTCAGAGTTAAAATATATATACACAATGAAAATATCAAATGGATGAAGTTAACCTTGTTAGTAGTATGTTTTATGACCAAAAAAAGCCAGACTATTAGCAAATGACTGATTTATGGGCTTAATAGAAACCACCGCCTATGGAAAAAGTAACATGGAATAAAAACAAAGCAAAGGAGTTTGGAATTTATTCTAATCCCAGATTGAGGTGGTAGAGTCAAGGAAAGGCTCTTGTGGACTCTTCCTCACTGTTATCTCTGTTGGGAATAAGATAAACAAGAAAAAGTGAGAAAAGCTGATGAAACCTGAGGATGAGAAGCACTGTTTAGGTTTGAGAGAAGAATATAAACATTCATTACTTGCTTCTTAGAATGTTCCTCTTTGGCCGAAAGGAAGGAGGCTCTAGGGGGAGGTCTCAGGATAGAGTGCCAGTTGGCTCTTGGCTTCATTTTAGGAAAAAGGGGAAGTCACTTTTTTCTACTCCTGCCCTTTGCAAACTTAATCAGGCTTTCTTGGGCAGCTGGAGCCTTTCTTTTCACTGATGAATGTCTTTTAATGCTTTTCTTGCCAATGCTATTATGAATGTTCTTTCCAGTGTTTTCTGGGAAGATTTATTCTTGTAAATTCAATAGTTGTCAAGGTAAATTGTAGTCTAATGTAATTTAAAGACCCAAAGACCCCAGGCCTGGCCTTGCCCCATGCTCCCTTCCTATTGCCAGTTTTACTTCTTTGGGCATGTCTGGTACCATCCCCAAGCTACAGTTCCTCCTGCTGGACACAAGGAACACTTTACCTGCCTATTCCCGAATGACAGAGATGGCCTCTGGAGGTCTCTTCCAAGTCTGTGTTTCCTGGAGCGGCAGATCCAAAGCTCTTAAGGTCAGTGCTGAGGTGAGTCAACCAGTGTCAAGTTTTCAGAGCATCTAGGACATGCAAAGTGCTATACTAAGCATTATTGAGGAGAGGTAAGTCAACTAGAGTCCCCAGGAACTTAACAGTTTTTTATGGGAAACACATTTAGAACAAGTCTAATCCAAAGCAGCCTAGATGAAGGCTGCAGCGGGAGGATTCTGCCCTCTCCCCTGCAGACTCAGCGGCTCTACTATGCTGGAAGCAGGGAGCGATAGAGGTGGGGAAGGGAGAGGAGGAGATACTGCAAGGAGCGCTGAGTGATGCATATTTTTCCGTTTGGCAATAGTTGTGGGGACACAGAAAGGTGACTCCAACCCCTTAACACCAGCATAGGCCTTTTTCAGCTTTGTTTTTCTGTCCCGTGGCCTCCAGGCTCAAAAGCAGCAGCTGCAGGAGGAAGACTGAAGAGAAGGGGCTGAGGAAGTCCCTGGCATGTCTCTCTGTGTCAGGAGCATGTCAGTGTCTCTCAGCCAGAGTCGGCAAATGGGTGGTGCCCCACTATGGGCCTGTGAAGAAGAGGCCTTCTGTGCTGATGAGGAGTAAATTGGCCCATGACTGCGTGGGAGGGGTGGGTGTGAATGAGACAGGCTGTCAGCTAAGGGCTCTGAGGCAGGGCACCTGGTCTCTCTAGGTAGACGGGGTGAGGGGAAGGGGCAGGCATCAGGCACAGGGCTAGGTGATTTTCCTGACGACTAATTTATTTATTCTGCATGAGATTGGTGTTAATATTCCCATTGTACTGATGTAAAAACAGGAGGTTTCTGAGGCCTTAAATAATTTACCTTAGTTCCCAGAGTTAAGGACAAAGCCAGGATTAAAAACGGGACCTGTGTAAATCCATAACCCACACTTTTTCTGTTGCCCACAGTGCCTTCTGTGATGACCTATTCTGTATTATTCGAGTGATGCCTGAACAGCCCTCTCAATCCTGGAACGGGAAGGCCAATGGGGGAGTTTCTTCCATCTATCTACCTGATGTGCAGTAGCAGTTCCATTATGGGACATTCATTTTTTTAAGGTTAATAAGAATGATCTCTCTTCAGCCTGTCTCCTAAAGGAATGCCATGTCAATATGATTACTCACTTCATTGAGTATCAGCCATCTCCTCCCACCCTGCCCTTAACTAGTGTCAAAAACTGATGATTTGAAGTTTTACCCTCCTTCCACGTTAATGTTAGTCTGTTAGGGTTTTGTGGGTAATGGCAGAAGTCATGAAGCTCCAGGGTCAGAGACAAAGGACTGAATTACACATGGCACAGTAAACAGCAGGAGCACCAGCATGTTTGTGTCCATTCCCTTGTCCCCCAAGTCCCACAGGGGGCAATATGGAGGGTCTGGGTAAATGCTGCACAGGTGGTGGGTTTGAGTCACAGCTGGGGAATACTGAGCTTGAGGAACCCGCCATTTTTAGCAAGCAGGAATAAGACTACTTTTTTTATATGGAGGTAGACATGACCTCACCCCCAAGGTTGCTCATTGCAAACATGATTCTGAGAATGATCTGAGTAAAGAGAAATCAGGGCTTGCATTCTTGGCATTCTCAAGAGTGTGAGAGACCCTCTGAATACTCTCCTAATAAGCAACCCCTTGGTCCTATACAGTCTTGACTTTTGGCAAATTTTCACTTAAATATGTTACTACATTGGCTCTTCTGATTAATCTGACTGACAAATGCTAGAGCCAAATTCATCAATTTTCTTTCATATAGACTTTCATTAAGGGTATGGTGAACAGGACTCTGATACTTGCAGTATTCACCTCAACCATACTCCCCAGGATTCAACCAACTGCAAGTAGGTCCTAGGGAGACTGGTGGATGTTTTTGTTTCCCCATATAGCCAGGATATAGTCTAAGACCACTCTGTTATCCGTCACAATTTGTGCAAGGGAGTTTAGACTGACCTACTGATCTTTAGTATCATTGACAATAGTTACAGATGGCAATAGATGGGCCAAGAAGTGAGCTGTATTCCCAGCGAAGGAGTATCCTGTGATGTCAGGCCTAGTAGAATAGTTCAGGACCAGCCATGCCCACATGAATCTTTCTGTTTGTATGGCCCATGGATGGGAATGATAAATCCAGCAATGTGTCTGATTGCCACCTGAAGCTCCTGCTTCACTCCAATGGGCCATATGATTGTTTTATTAGGCTATGGTGCTGGATGTAGGCGACTAAGAGAGCATTGATTATTCCTCCCCTCCACGTCTACCCCCATGACTTAACAAAACCTGTGTAATGGTGACCTAAATCAAGTTTAGCAAAAAATCCCAAACTAGAGTGACAGAGGTGCCTTTGTACGTGACAGTTGCACCACAGGATGTCCCTCCACTGGTAACAGGGGTCTGAGGTGTTCCCCACCCCAGTGCTAGGACTGTTACTTTCCTTCAGTGGCTGTGAAGTCATGCTTTCCATGCCAGTAGCTATAATGGCACTTCTCTCTCCCCTCCCCCAGTCATTCCCTAGTTGAACCCCAACTTTTTGTCTAGAAAAATCAGGTACAAGTGGGACAAGAGCATTCTTTATAAATTTACAGAGACCAGTTTTGTCCTCCTCCTGGCCTACGTGGAAACTCAATGTACCCAACTACATGGTCATTGTCTTCATGATCTAAGACCATTGTAATTCAATAAGAGAATCCAGGTGGCTGACTCAGATTTAAGTTTGGATATGGTAGGTCCCCTTTTGTCTGGATTGCCACTCAGAGGGTATACCAAACAGGCTGTCCTGAGGTTGCTATTAGGGGAGAAGGCTATGTCATGTTCAGAAATTGTTAGGGTTGGAATGTTGGATTTTCAAAATAGGTATATATAACCCCTTTCTTTCTGATCACTACCCGGGACAAACCCTTTTTGGGGATTGCTGCATTCAGTGGCCAAACTACCTTACTTACTTGTGGACCAGGAAGTATTAAAGAAGAAATTTTCAAGTCAGAATCTTTTTGAAATGATTTTTGAGAAGGCTGGTCCAGTGTTCAATAATCTCTGAGACCCGTGGATTGGAGGGAGCATGGAGTACCCATCAAATATCTTAACTATTGGCCCTTGTTGGGTGGTCTTTACAACAAAAGGCGTACCATTTTCTGATTATAAATGATCCAGAAAGCAGAAAAAAATGACACCGTTTCATTTCCAGAGCCACAGTGGTGTGGCCAGAGTTGACTGATTGGACTAGAACAGCAACACTGTACCCTGAAAAAGTGTCACCTGTGGTGAGGTTCCAACAGTATCCCTGGGAGGAGGTCAAGGTCTGACATAGTCAATTTGCCAAGAGCAGAAGGCATTAATACCAATGCAGTATGGCTTCTTTTACCGTAAGACAAATGGACCAACTTTTGGCAGGAGTTACAAGTCACAGTGTTAGCTTCTGCATTATCATTTTTTGTTGCATGGGTGGTGCATTTTTTTGTATGAATGTGGTCAGTGCAGTGATGGATCCAAGTGGCCATGGTGGCGATCTGAATGGCGCAGCCTTGATCAGCAGCTTGATTCTAGATGGTCTCATCAGAAAATGGACCCCTGTGGGAACTACATGAATGACAACCATGACTTGTTTCCATAGTGCACGCCCCAAAGAGGGGTGTCTTTAATCTCTGTCTGTCCGTCATCTTCCAAGTGGCAGACCAGACAGCTAAGCCATTGGCAAGAACCAAGAGTCGGTAAAAATATAGTTCGTTTCATTAAGGGGTTTGTTGGCCAGAGCTGTGAGGACTGCCTTGAGTTCTGCCACTGAATGAAGCAACTTCATCTATTTTCAGTTCTCCATACCTGGCACTGGGTTTGAATAGCCACAACAGCCCAGTGAACACCACTAGGTTTCAGCTTAGACAAACCATCAGTGAACCAGGCCTAGGTGTTTAAGATGACCTCTGTAAATTGGGGAGCTCAAAGGAGTTTGAGCCAGTGGGTTTACCTTAAATGGCAGAGTGGAGGGATAGAAGTTTGCCTCAAAGGGTGGCTGCCATTTATCATGTAAACCCAAGATACCACTAGAGCCAAAGCAGCTGTGTTCTTGGATGTACCATTTCAACTTCACGAGTAAGGCTTGTGGGCCCTTCCCATCGTGTTCGTCATTGAATCTGAGTCGACCCAACTCCAAATGGGAATATCACAAGACCTGTAATTTCAACAAGAGCTTAGTAGAAGGTTAACAGCTACTATTTAATTTAAATTAATTTGTTTCAGTTTTTAAATTTGAGTGTAGCTGACATATAATACTATATTAGTTATAGGTGTACAACACAGTGATTCAGCGTCTGTATACATTATGCTATACTCACGCGTGTAGCTGCCATCTGTCACCATACAGTGCTCTTACAGTATTGTTGACTGTATTCCCTATTCTGTACCTTTAATTCTTGTGACTTACTAATTCTGTAACTAGAAGCCTGTATCTCACACTCCCTTTCACCCATTTTGCCCTAACCTCTTTTCTCTCTGGCAACCATCAGTTTATTCTCTGTATTTATAGGTTTGATTTTGCTTTTTGTTTGTTTATTCATTGTGGGTGCTTATTCATTTGTGGGTTTTATTCATTGTGGGTTTTCATTCTGCAAATGAGTGAAATCGTATGGTATTTGCTTTCTCAGTCTTACTTCACTTAGCATAATACCCTCTAGGTCCACCCATGCTGTCACAGATGGCAAGACCCCATCCCTTTTTTATGGCTGCATAATATTCCAGTGGTGTGTGTGTGTGTGTGTGTGTGTGTGTACACATGTGTGCATCTGTGTACACAACACATCTTCCTTATGCATTCCTCTATTGATGGACACTTGGGCTGCTTCCATATCTTGGCTATTGCAAATAAAGCTGAAATAAATATAGGGGTGCATATATCTTTTCAAATTAGTGCTTTCATTTTCTTTGGGTAAATACCCAACAGATTTACTGGCTTATATGGTAATTCTATTTTTAATATTTTGAGGAGCCTTCATAATGTTTTCCACAGTGGCTGCACCAATTTGCATTCTCACCAACAGTGCACAAGTTTCATTTTTCTCCACATCCTCACCAACAGTTGTTATGTATTATCTTTTTTATTTTAGCCATTCTGACAGGTGTAAAGTTAAATCTTATTGTGGTTTGCATTTCCCTGATGATTAGTGACGTTGGGCATCTCTTCATGTGTCTGTTTGCCATCTGTGTGTCTTGTTTGGAAAAATATCTATTCAGATCCTCTGCACATTTTTAACCAGATTTTTTTTTTCTTTTTTGGTGTTGAGTTGATAAGTTCTTTAGGCATTTTGGATATTAACCCAGTATTGGATGAATGATTTGCAAATATTTTCTCCCATTCAGTACGTTGCCTTTTTGTTTTGGTTATGGATTCCTTTGCTGTCAAAAAGCTTTTATATTTTGATATAGTCCCAAGAGTTTATTTTCGCTTTTTTCCCCCCTTGCCTTAGGAAGCACCTGGGGAAATGTTGCTATGAGCAATGTCAGAGAAATTACTGCCTGCATTCTTTTCTAGGATTTTTATGGTTTCAGTTCTCACGTTTAGATCTTTAGTCCATTTTGGGTTTATTTTTGTGTATGGTGTTAGAAAGTGGTCCAGTTTCATTCTGCATGTAGCCGTCCAGTTTTCCCAGCACCATTTACTGAAGACTGTCTTTCCCCCATTGTATACTCTTGCCTCCTTTGTCATAGATTGATTGACCATATAAGCATGGGTTTATTTTGGGCTCTCTGTTCTGTTTTGTTGATCTGTGTGTCTCTTTTTATGGCAGTACCATACTGTTTTGATTACTATAGTTTTTTAGTATATTCTCGAAATCTGAAATTATGATACCTCCAGCTTTGTTCTTTCTCAAGATTGCTTTGGGTATTCAGGGTCTTTTGTTGTTTTATACACATTTTAGTATTATCTGTTCTAGTTCTGTGAAAAATGTTGCTGTTATTTTGATGGGAATTGTATTGAATCTGTAGATTGCTTTGGGTAGTATGGACATTTTAACAATATTGATTATTTTAATCCATGAGCACAGAGTATCTTTCCATTTGTTGGTGTCACCTTTAATATCTTTCATCAATGTTTTATAGTTTTCAGATTTTTTTTTTAATTTTTAAAAGAGGTGTACCAGGTGGCTGCCTCATACAGATGGTGATGATGCACTTGGGAAATAGCATGAATAAGCCCTAGCTTCCCTTTCCCCTTGTAGGATTTTGTAGTGTTTCTTCTGGACCACCTGAGGCAGTTTGTTGTGGTGGGGGGATGATGTTCCATTAACACCTTTCTTTTTTTTTAAATTTATTTATTATTTTTTTATTATGTTATGTTAATCACCATACATTACATCATTAGTTTTTCATGTAGTGTTCCATGATTCATTGTTTGCATATAACACCCAGTGCTCCATGCAGAACGTGCCCTCTTTAATACCCATCACCAGGCTCCCCTCTAGAACCCTCAGTTTGTTTCTCAGAGTCCATAGTCTCTCATGGTTCGTCTCCCCCTCTGATTTCCCCCCCTTCATTCTTCCCCTCCTGCTATCTTCTTCTTCTTCTTTTTTTTAAACATATAATGTATTATTTGCTTCAGAGGTACAGGTCTGTGACTGATCAGTCTTACACAATTCACAGTGCTCACCATAGCACATACCCTCCCCAATGTCTATCACCCAGGCACCCCATCCCTCCCACCCCCCACCACTCCAGCAACCCTCAGTTTCATTAGCACCTTTCTATGTGCCGCACACCCTGAATAGGAGAATCCCTCAGATACTTAAGGAGTAGGGGAATGCAAGTATGTAACACATCTGCTCCATATACATTCAGATGTGGACGCCATAACAGTACATCCAATCAACCCAGAGGCCCTCACCCACAAAATCACTTTAATTTCACTTCCCCAGTGTCCAAAATTCATTAGTTGAAATTGGGTCCTGTTTCCCCCTCTAGGAACATGGACAAAAGAGTCTAATGTGTGTGTGAGTTAGGAGCTCTGGCAACAGCAACCAGGAGATCACTGCTCTGCCCCTGAGAATACGAGGGTTAGAGAATGGAGGGGAGGCCAGCCTGTGGACAAAGTAGGGTGGCTTTTTCCTCCCATGACCCTCGCTCTAGCGTCAGTGCTTGAGCACTGGGGCTGCTTCCTCCCTCAAGTACCTCCTGGCACTGGATGGATGTCTGGGCCCAGCAGCCTTGTTTTTTCCGTGCGTGTGCTTGTTGCCGTGGTCTGTGGTACCTTCGGCTACCATCACACCCAGGACCCCATCCTTGCCGCTGGCCAGCTGGGGCTGGGCTCTGGGCACCTGAGCCTGGCTAGCCTGGCTCTGTGCGGCAAGGCTCTGCATCTACTTCTGTTTTGGAGCAGCTGCTTGCTTCTGGCTCAGAAAGAAAAAACTTCTGATGTTTTGATTCACCCAAAAACTGTATGATGAATGGCAAGGTCCTCACTTGCTAGCATCATTTTTTTACAGTTTGGGGATTCCTTGACTCAGAAGCCACAACCATATTGCCTCTCAGCCATGGGTTTGCTGCTTCACTGTCATTGTAATATCTCGTCCTTGATCTGCTTGGGGAAGAGTGAGTGAACAACAGCCAAGGGGGCATTTGGGTGGTTTGCTTCAATTCTGCTTCCCACTGCTTAGCCTTGTTAGCGTGTAGGATATTTGGATACCCTTACTCCCTCACTTGTCTATGCTTGGAAGCATTGACTGACTATTTTGCAAAGTCTTCTAATATCCCAAACCCAGCCCACAGAGCCCTTGTCCTCTTCTTCCAGCAAGTCATGTTTCTGTTAGCATCCCATATCCTCACCGTCTAGCTGTCACTGTCTAGCAGAGTATTGATGGGGAAACTAAAGAGAAGAAAGCAACTCAGGAAGGTCAGGTACTTTGGAGGTGGTATGACTGTCAGCCCTGGTTTGAGCTGCACAAAGACATTGATGTAAGGGCATAGAATTGACACACTGCACAGGGAGGTGAGAATCAGGAGTAGTCATGTATTATAATTTTGTCCAACCACAATTCTCTTTCATCTTCCTTGATCAAAACTGGCATTTTTCCTATCAGAGGCCGCCCTGAATTAATTATCCTATTGGGTTCCTTAAATGTGTTAATAACTGATAATTTTTTGGCAAACACAGCAGATGGCAGAAGAACCATTTGGGGATGATTTTTTGGAATCATTTATTTAACAAAAACTGTCAGCATCCTAGTAGGTACTCAGTACTATGGCAGATGTTGGGGATACAGGGGTGAGCAAGGGGTGGACCCTGCCCTCAAAGGGCTTAGCATCCATGAGGAGAGATACTGATAAAGATGCAGAGTTGAGTCAGGCTGTCAGAGGCTCCAGGTATATCCAGACTGTACTACCAGAAAATATCCAGAGACAGACCAGTCCCTGGGATGGAATCAGAGTGTCAGGCGTATAGTCACTCTCTCAATCATATCTTATTTCATGGAGATGTATTGCACAGCATTTACAATGACCTCAAAAATACAGTTCATTATAATGAAACATGTAAGAGTCATTACTATTTATCTTCTTATTCAGGAAGTCCAGGAAGTCAAAGGAAGTGTTTACTGTTTGAATGGAAAAACAGGGAGGTATCTTCAATGACAGCCAAAATGAGAAGCAATTATAGAAGTCCTGTGCTCATGAAATAAAAACATTTCACAACTGCCTTGTTTCTCTTCCACACTGAGAAATTAAGTTTGAAAACTGACGTAAATATTGGTAATGCTGCTTTGATGAACCTGAATTCCTCACAGTGAGGTTAATGAGGCAATGATGAAAAATAAACATTATCTAAGCTGCCAGCAAAGGGAGGGTGAGAGGATTCCTTCGGCTCGCAATGGTCACATGTTTGTAAACTCGGACTGCTCATGGAAGAGATGGTGTATTTGGTCCAGAGTGAGAACTTCCAAAAGAAACGAGGAAGTGATCCAGATGACACGACATGCATGCAGTCCTATACCTTACCCTTTGCCCAGCTGCACTGGTCTACTAGCTGGTCCTTACATAGTCTCCTCTGAAGAGTCTCCAAATATGCTATTCCTACTGGTCAGGATGCCCTCTTACCCATTCACAAGTTCTGCCTGGTAAGTGACTTTTCCTCTTTTAATATTTACAGAAAGTTTCATCTCTTCATTGAAGCCATGCCCAAATACTCCAGGTAACAGACTCGTGAGTCAAATACAGCTCGATTAAAATCCTGGTTCCACTACTTGCTAGCTGAGTGACTTGGAACAAATACTTAAATTCCTCAAGTTTCTTTTTTAAAACTTGGATTTTTAAAAAACCTCCTGCATAGGGCTGTTGTAAGAATTAGTGAAATACCCTCTGAAAAGCTCCTCACACAGAGCAGGTGCTCAGTAAAAGTGAGTTCCTGGACTCGTGTGATCATAGCAGCTCCCTGACTTCTCTGTGTTGGCATAGATCTCATTCCACAGTGATTCTGTCTCTTTTCTCCAACTGATGGCAGTATCATTGAAGATATGGAATGTGTCTTATTTTTGTCTTTGAATTTTCTGCAATACCTAGAAAAATACTTGCCAGAGTAGGGACTCAATAAATGTTCAATGAATGAATAAAGAGTAAGTGAATAATTTAATAAATGAGTAATTAACCAATATCCCCTAATTCAGTAGTCTTTAAGCTGTTGTTTTTCAGGGAAGTATTAAACTCTTGCCTTTAGGAGCCACATGGTGGTGTCTGTGTGTGTGTGTACACGTGTGTGTATTTGTACATAACTGCACCTTTAGAAGATTAAAGGCTGTTGTCTGTGTCAAGGTGTAAGCCGGATTGGACACTTAACTTTTATCAGTGATACAGACATAAGGAAAGGCACATGTGTTTTTATGGTCGGGCCAGGGGTGCTTGAGGGTGGTGGTTTTCAATCTGATTCTTATGGCGTGTGTTTGTTATTAGGAGAGGTGTTTGGTTCTCACAAATATTGGGGGAATGAGCTATGACAAGGAGCCCAGCCTTTTCATGACTAAAATTTAATTGCCTTGTATATCAAGGAGGAATACTTTAGACTATTGATGTCTGCAATGGATTGGTGACTGATGGTCTTTTATTTAATTGTTTACTGCACTAGATCTAGATTAGCTGGGGCATTTGGTCTAAGGTGATTCAATGGTTATTTCATATTCACCTTTAATGAGGTACCCCCATCCTTCCCATATTCACTTGACACTGAATAAAATATATCACAATAATTTAATTCCTTTAACCTACTAGAGGGAAAGCTCATGTTCTCCAACACCTAGAGAGGGTTGGGCACATTGGCAAGCATCTATTCACCAATTCATTCATTCCCATTAATTCAACAAATATTGATTGAGTCTACTATGTGTCAGTCACTTTCTAAGGTACTAAGCATATAACTGAACAAAGCAGCTTTTAGAATTAAATATATTATTACTGAGAACATACTGGGTTCCAGGCATTATGCTACACTCTGGAGATATACCAAGAGAAAATCCTCACTGAACAGAGTATACATGACTGAGGGAATATATCCACAGGTGGAAGGAATGTGAGTCTTGTAGAAGAGGGTGTTGTAGATCCTTGAGTGTTAGTACCTAAGAATCACTGCCCAGCCTTGTATGGTTGTTTTAAGTTTCCACTTTTATCTCTAAGTCATGCCCTAGGGGCCACAAAAAAAGAGTTTTCCAGCTGTTTACAACTTTAATTTTGAAACAGTTGCCTTGAACTATTCCATACATTGCATTCTTTTGCCCCTTTGGATTGCCATTTTTTAGATAACCTTGGAATTTTGAACTTGGTGTTCAGACCATGGGTTCTTCTGGACCACAGTCAGAGTTTTTCTTTCATCTGCCCTTGTCCAGATTGTCCCTGTTCAGCCAGACGCAAGACTGGAGATGCCACAGTTGACAGGCATTTTATGCGGCCACCCCAAATCCAAGAGTGGGATTTGAACAACCCAATTTATTTCAAATCTTATTTCTCAAAATCTTTCTCAAACATATATATTCATTTCAGCCTTACGTATATGCAATATATTGAGTTGAATCTTTCTTCATATCGCTTTGCAGTTCATCAGTGGGATGTTGATAGATATCAGAGTTCCAGGGAGGCTAAATAGAACGAGAAAGTTGACTTCATAGGAAATCAACAACATCACGCAATACACGACAGATGCCAAATTAGTGACATGGGTAGTAAGCACTGTCAGAATTCAGAGCTATGAGAAAGATCACTGCCAAATGGGGAGGAATTTGAGCTGGGCCTTGAAGAAAAGTTGGAATTTCAGTGGGAAGCCAGGAGGGGCAAAGCCACAGGGCAGGGTTGACGGTATGAACAAAGACCCAGGGGTGAGAGGTACTTGCATCTGGATAAGATCAAAGAGCTTCAGCTGTATCAGGTGGTCATTGTGTTACAGTAAAATCTGAGTTCCCAGGTAAGAATGACTGGCAGCTTTCTGAAGACCTAAGTTGAAAAGCAGAAAGAGAAATAATGGTTCTTGGAGGCAGTTTGTTTAACTATGTAAAGCTTAAATCCGTTTTTGCACTGCTAAGGAGAGGTGTGCCCTTCATTAGAGATTAGACATTTTATGGTTAGCTTCTCTTCCAGGAAAAAGAATTCTCTTTGATTGCTTTCCTCAGGTCCCTGAGGCCTTCCCTGGAGAATGCATCTTTGTGGATAATTTCACTCACTGCCCAGTCAGATTAAGACCTTCCACTGCACATAATGACATTTTCCCTGGACTGTTGCTTCTGTGAACAACATTGTGACAGCTTATATTTAAAAGGTGAATTTATGTAAACTGTGTGTCTGATGGGATTTTGAAGTTTGGTGTGAAATGTGTTCAGTCCAGCTGTGACTCACAGGGTTTTGATTCTCTACAGTTTTGCAGTGATTAATTTATTATATTAGCCAAATGATTTCCAGTTTTGTGCCTATGGAGGTGCGAAGTCTTGTGGTTGGTACCTGCTTTCTGGTCAGCAGGGTACACTTGACCATGCAGGGATAGGAAAGGATCACTACTGAGATGGGGGTTTGCCAAGGGTGTTCAGAGAAGAGTAGCTGATGTGAGCCCGAATTATAGATATTGAGAAGCCAAGGGGTATCCAGAAGGTTGTGCTTGGTGTTAAGTCTAAGTGCTGAAACAGGGCATATATCAAAAGGATAGAAGTTTGAGGATTGAAAGCAGAACAGGGTGCAGGAGGAGGAATGGTTGCTATGGGCAGTTCTTCAAGAAGTAGCTAGTGCCATGGTGCTTGATGCCTGGTACGTGATGTAGTGAGGTCCAAAGGAACCACGTTAGGATAGGACTCCATTCTTTCTCAGGGTGGTCTGGTACGAGTGAGAGGAAGAACTCTGTGCAAGAATCTCAGTGTAGAGGTATAGATGGTGTTTCAGGGAAAGTCAGGGTTGGAAGGCAGACGACTCAGCCATCCTCTGAGCAAGGAGCATGGGACCAGAGGTCGTCAGGGGTATATATGGTTCATGATCCTGATGGTTGTGGAACCTAGATGACAGATGTTGGGAATATTAATTTGTGTGAATGGGGTCTTAAAGAGTGATCTTGAACTGCGTAGACTTCTACTCAAGTTTCTTTGGGCTTCATGCTAGACACATGCAGGTGTGCTCAAGTGAAATCAGGTGTTTTTACCTGTTTTTGTCTTTATAGCGTGTTTAAGGGTACAGAAATATCATTGGCCCCTTGTGCAGGAAGAAAATTTAATTTCAATGAAAGATTGCCACCACATTGAAGCCTGGAGAGCCACGAGGAACCCGAAACCACTCCCCCAGGCTCTCAGGGGATGCATAGTCTCTTGCTTCTGTTTCTGTGTATTGGATGCATTCTCCTCATCAGTGGACTTTCTTTGCTTTTTCATCTTGCATATCGGCCAACCTGGCTGCCAGCCCTAATGCTGTATCAGGTCATCACTGGCTGAGGCTACCTATTAGTTCATGTTTTTCCAAGGGAGAAATGACTCAGCTGCTGGGAAGCCATTGAATTGGCTGGCTTGGGATCAAGTGCGCAGCCTCAATCCAGTCATACATGGGGTGACATAGATGTAGTGCTGCACCTCCCAGAGGCTAGAATCAATGGTGAAACTGTGTAGTCCTAAAGCCCTGCGTCTGATATGGTGTGGAGGGTTAGGCTTGGATTCTGATTGTCCCCCTAGGAAGCAGAGTGACAGAGGCTGGTGTTAGCATGGTAGGTCTGACTGAGAAAAATACAGCGTCTTAGCTGTAGGATGAGGAAGGGACTCATGTGGAAATCTGTGGTTTTAGGATCCCAGGCAGGAGCAACACTGTTGCCCCTCATGTTGTCCCACCCTGTCTTTGGTCCGGGTGAGTGCCCTTACCATTTCCTTATACTCTGAGGTAGCTCTAGTGTTGTGGACGGCCCTCCCAGAGCAGTGTGCCCTCGCCTGCCAGGAGATACAGTTGGTCTTATGGGATCAGAAGGCTTGAATTCTATCCCAGTTAGCTGAGGCATGGGGGTGGCTCAGTCTCTGTGGTTTTTCAGTTCTGAATGGGGCTAATGATCTCCAAGTTCTGTGTCGAGGAAGCTCTGAAAGGCCACATGATATAGATAATGATATAGATGATCTTGCTTTGAGGGCAGGTGATGGCCTGGCTGTCTTGACTTTTGAGTAGGTAAAGAAGAAGTAAAGTCTCTCCATCTCCACTCCTTTTCTCTTCCCACCCTCGTTCTGTCCTTCCCTGCAGGGGCCTCACAGATAAGTGCACACCCTCCAACCCCCATGTTCCAGTCACATATGTGCTCCCCACAAAGAGTCACCCATCAGCCATCCTTCAGTGCTGAGTGTGTGCACCCAATAGTATAGCATTTGATTCCTTAGCAAAAAACTTGCACTGGCCCTGGAAGTGGTCATTTGGGTAGGGAATTCCGAGTCCTGGATGCGCAGAGTATAGTCTAGAAGGGGTGAATGGTACGTGCCCAGAGTGGGGACATCAGGTGAGGCTGAGTGGTCCCTTGGTCACCTCACCTGAAGAGGAGGGGTGTGGCCAGAGCAGGGCCAGAGGCACTTGTACCTGGGCTTCTGGGTAATACTGTTTAGTACGCAGATGGAATTATTCCTGTGAAAGAATGGGCTCACTGAATTTAGTGTTGCTGCTTTGAGTAGCTCCAGGGAGGCAGACAGATCTCACAGTTATGCGGTATCAAGCTCTACGGAAGTCATGTTTCTAAGCCCAAGGTGTCTTCCTCCTGTCATACGGCACACTTGTTCTTGGCGAGGTCCAGTGAAACAAATTTGTGTACGTGAATAGGTTTTTGGCGGGTCTTCCCACCCCTCACCCCTTCCCTTTCCCCCCATCATCTGCCTGCATCTGTTTGGGGGAATTCCCCAACTTATGGGGACCTGCCTCTTATTACAGAAGTAAAAGGTAAAAATTGATGTTTGTTTTCCTAGGCTCCTGCAGCTGGGCAATGTAACCTGCTCTGTGTCAGCCAAGTAGACGGTGCTGCCCTGGGTGGAGCTTCGCAACCAGTGTGCTGTCCCACCGCAGTAGACCTGGCCTAGGTCATAGGACGTTGAGGTGTGGCACTCTTCAGTCCTTGGAAATACCTGGTGGGGACTAGGGGAGGCAAAGCTCCTGGACATGCGACCCCTGACCTTCAGCACCCTCCTGTACCTCGGTGTGGTGTAAAAACCTTCATTTTCTGTAGTACTGGGGCACGTAACAGGCCGGGAAACACCGGATTAGGAGACTGAACTGGGAGCTGGCGACTCAGTGATGGAGACCTTGAAAGGTTTTTTCTCTCTGGAATAACGGTGGTGGCCACAAGATGCCGTGTAATGAGCTACCCTGGGCTAAGCCTTTTCTCCTCGGACCATTTCTGTGACATCGTTCTTTAGTCCTTCAGTTAATATTTTTTTGATTTTTAAGGAAGTTATTTTCTGGTTGAGTCCGCCAAAGTTATATAATAGCTATACAACACTAGCCAGTTTAACAGCTATGGCAGAGGAGTGCCATGGGAGGGGAATTTCTGGTTTTTCTCTTCTTTCCATGCCAGGGTGAGTGTGAACCAGTTGGGCCCTTTGTTGGACACAGATATTCCTGGAAAGGTCACAAAGTATAAAATTTAGAGCTTGAAGGGGCTTTGAAGATGCTTCATCATACCACGAGAAAGCTGAAGTGAAATGACTTGAAAGCTCATGAAGTTACCTAATGGAAGAATCTCAGAACTGTGCTCTTCCAATGTTTCCCATCATTAAAAAGAAAAGGTTGGTTGTTTGCTTTTTTTTCCCCAGAGCCAAAGCAATCCAAACCAAGAATAAACTTTGAGCATTTTTTTCAAAGTTAGAGTTACCAGTTTGTTAGATAAAGTATTGATGGGAAAGTTGCTCAATAATTGACACCTTTGTGGAAACAAGGCATTCCACTCAGGGGAAAATTTGATTTATTTCTATTATCTGAGTGGGCCTTTCTTTTAGTGATGCCATCTCTCATTTTTTAATAAAAACTTGGACCATTTCAGTGTCTAGCTATTCCTGGCAATTCGCCTTTCCATAGGAAAGAATGCTTTTAATGGCTTTAAACTAAAGCAAATGCTTCTTTTCCTTACGCTTGTTAAACAAGCCAAATATGTTCTTTGCTCTCTTGGAATTTTCTTGTATTTTATTTATTTATTTTTTTAATGTGAAAAGTGTGCCAGACAACTAAGCAGATTGCTATATACGTTTCACATGGATTAGCAAGAAACCTGAGAGCTTCAGGCGGTTTAAATTAAGCAATTAAAAAAATATTTGAGAAGGATCACTTTTTAAAAATGTTATTTGTTTGTTTCTTTTGTTTTGTTTTAAACCACATGAAAGATGCCTGGGGATGGGAGTTGTGGAGCAGGATGGGCTGACTGGAGGAATTACCAGGGGTGGGGTGGGGTGGGGGGATCTTTTGGGGTCATGGGTATGTTCATTATCGTGATAGGAGCAAACAGATGTCAAAACTAATTAAATTGTACACTTTAAGCATGTGCGGTTTGTTCTATGTTAAGACCTCAACAGATTTGTTTCTTAAAAATAAAACAAATGAAGCAACAGTTCAGACTCCTCTGTGAAAGACTCAGAGCTGGGGAAGGCGGGAGAGCCAAGGGATCAAAAACTGTGGAATGTGCTGTTCAGTGGCCAATGGGGATAAGGGACACGTTATTAGGAGCATGCCACCCACTCAGACCAAACACCCTGTCCTCAGAACGGCGCTTCTGGTGGCGCCTCCCAGTTCTGCTGTCATGAAGCTCTTTGCCCTGGGTTTTCTGAGTCCCTTGACCATCTTCACTTGAGGTTGTAGGATGGGCCTTCCTTATGTTTTTAAAAATTATTTATTTATTTTCCAGAGGACTGCAACAAGGATTTATGTTTATTACATGTAATCTGGGAATTTTTCTGAGGGTTCCTGGCACGTATAAATTATAGCTCAAACTCTTACCTCTAATTTCTAAGACACTACTCAAATTGTTATGTTTCACAGGAATTCACTGGAATTCCATCAGATCAGCTGCTTGTGCGGAGTAAATAGAAGAGGCTCAGAAGCAGACGTTGAATTCCTGCTGAAACTGGTTAGAGGTAGGGTGACTGTATAATTCATTATCTAAACAGAGACATTTTTGAGAGTGAAAAAAGCCACTATTGGTATTTGGGTTGACAGCACAGACATAAACTGGGATTGTGCCTGGTAAAGCAGGATATCTGGTCACCCTAGTTATAAGACAACTTGACCTTTATTTTAAAATTTTTTTTAAAGATTTTTTTTTTTGACAGAGAGAGAGAGAGAAAGTGAGAGAGCATGCAGGCAGGAGAGGGGCAGAGGGAGAAGGAGAGAGAGAATCTTAAGCAGGCTCCATGCCCAGCGTGGGGCCCTATCTCACGACCCTGAGATCACGACCTGAACTGAAATCAAGAGTCAGATGCTTAACCGACTGAGCCACCCAGGCACCCCAAAGATTTTTTTATTTTTAAATAATCTCTACACACAATGTGGGGCTCAAACTCACAACCCCAAGATCAAGAGTCGCATGCTCCACCGACTGAGCCAGCCAGGTGCCCCGGACTCCTTGACCTTTATAAAAGTAGACATCAGTGTGTGCTAGGGAGCATAAGCAGTGTTCTCAGGGACAGAGAGGCCAAATGAGAGTTTGCCCATTGGACTCACCTTACTTGGAGCTGGAGAGAGAATGGGGGTGTGGATTACTCACTCACAAGGATTCTGAGAATGCAGTTTGGCCCCTGGTGACTTTGATCAATTGCTCCTCATGAGGCCTTTCTATTTTTCTTTGATCCTAGAAGCATCTGAGTGATACATCAGCCAATCTCTGCACAATGGCAACATATTTAGCCCCTCATATTTGAAGAAAATGTTAGCTAAGACAAACATAACTTTTCTTCAACTCAGCTTCCTACATCTGTCATGATCTTTGCAGCTCAGAAAGCAACAGTTAAACAGACTCTTTTGATTATTTGTTTTTTTTTAATTACAACATTTTTTATAGTTTGTACTTCCTTTTTTTGCACTCTTAAAGAGTTGCCATTAGATCGAAGTAGCTAGAATTTGAAAGTGAAAGCGTAGACTGCAGTGTTATAGACAGGAGAATTAGTGAAAGGTTCTCAGTATGAAAATATCTTTAATATCCTGCCTGGGTATTAAAGTGACAGGATGTTTCTTGGATAAGCTCTCATGAGTCTACAATAATTAGTTTTTATTATATCATATTGAACACAGCAGCCTTTTCCCAACATGGTGGTGTGCAAGGCTCTATATGAGTTTAGTCTTGCTTGTCTCGTTAGCTTCATCTTTCAATCCTTGCTTAACTTACGCCTTATGTTTCAGAATGTTAAACTCCTTCTAGTATGTTCAGCACCCCACACAGAAGACTTTAAGAAGAGTTCTTTATCTCCAAGTCCTTTTTACTCCTATGTTCTCTGTGGAGAATGTATTTTTCTCTTTCCCCACTCAGTGGTCACTGCTTCCAGGAAGCCTCCTGTTACTTCTTTCCTTACTCCTCCCCCGTCCCTGTTAGGATTCTTTTTCTTTGCCTCCTTAATATGGTTGCAGCTCTCTTTCATATGTGATATATTATTTTATTTAATTTATTTAAAAAAATTTTTTTTAAAGATTTTATTTATTTATTCATGAGAGACAGAGAGAGAGAGAGAGAGAGAGGCAGAGGGAGAAGCAGGCTCCCAAGGAGCAGGGAGCCGATGCGGGACTCGATCCCAGGACCCTGAGATCATGACCTGAGCCGGAGGCAGACGCTTAACCATCTGAGCCACCCAGGTGCCCTGTGATATATTATTTTAAAATGATAAGTTTACATATTTGTGTCTGATACATCAAACAAGCACCTAGAAAACTGAACCTGCTGTCTAATATTCTCTCTCTCTCTTCCTCCCTTTCTCTCTAATGGCCAGCACAGTTGACACAGTGAAGGTGTTTCCAGGGCCTAATGAAATTGTACCTGAACCTGAGAAAACAACCAGCTGAAACATTTCCAAGAAAGACAGGTGTGCAAACGATTCCTGCTGAGAATAGGTGCGATGCTGTTTACATTACTGCTCTTGAGCTGAGCTTCGCTTTCCCATTTCCTCAGAGTAAATATGTGTACATATGAGATAGAGACAGATGCATAGAATTTAAGTGCAGTGGTGCAATCATCAGATCGGAAAAATACAGGCTTTGTTGACCCCACCATATTGGATCTATTTTTAACTCTCAGTTTATTTTAGGTCAGCTTTAGTTTTCTTGGAACTGAGAAACACCACATATTTAACTGCACCGTTTTAAGGAAAATAGTGGAAATATAATGAGTAGGAAATGTTACTTCCAAACTCCTATTAATGAGTGTGCAAGGTCATTTTTTCCAATATCCTTTTTAACTGCGCAAACACTGAACACTTCTGGACAGCGTTTTTATTCCTGAAGAAGTAACTCACTGTAATTAACAAGAGTCTGAAAAGACTGAGGGAGAAAATGATTAGAAAGGTTTAAATATATTTTGTTTTTAATCTTTCTGAAATCTTGGTGATTGTTATTTGTTCAGATGGTAAATTTAAAGAAATCATTATTATTCCAAAAGCTGAGAGTCAAGACTTAGAGTTTGTAGAATCTGTTCCCTAAATTAATGTCACTAGGAAGTTAGCAAAAAGTGCATAATCTACCCTTCAGATTTCTGAATGGAAAAGAGAATGTTAAGCAGTCTGATCTATTTATTAAATGCACATGGATATAACTATTTTTAACCAGTGGAATTTGAGATGGCTAGAACATTTAAACCAAAATTCCAGGTGAATTATTCAAAACACAAAGAGTAACTGGACAAAAGAAGGTGACTCTGGATATATCATTCAAAGTAAAATGGAGTCAAGTTTTGCCAAAGCTCTGTAGAAGCCCAAAGCTTAGGAATTGCCAGTTCAGTGTGCAAAAAGGAGGAAGCATTGGGCTTCTGTGAGATCTTTTCTTAGCTAAGCAAGAGGCACATGTACCTTCTAATTATACATGTATTGGGCAGATTAATTAGAGTACCTACTACCATGAATTTTTGTTTTTTTTTGTTTTTAATAGCAGAAGCCACCCTGGCCAGTGCTTAGTGAAGTAGGGTCTGACTATCTATGCAGGGCCACCTGTGATGGGCTCAACTTGGCCCAACCCAAGCCAGATGTGAAGGACTTTGTCCTACGGCAAATAATAATTAGTTAAGCCAACCAGACTAGTTCCCTCCAAAATTATTTCTAGGGAATTCAGAAAAATTATTCTAGGGAATTTCCTCCAAAAAGATGGAGTAGACACAGAGATGGAAACAATGGCACTTTGAAAGAGAGACCACATGAGCTATGAGAGAAGTAGAGACCTCTTGAGACCTGCCTCAAGACCTGCCTAATGGTTGGATAGCTTTTAAGATCTGGCACTCACATATCTTTATATGTTCCCATTTTTCTTAAAGTGGCCTGAGCAAATCTCTGTTCCTGATAATCAAGGGTCTAGTTACCACACTCAAGGGATAAAAGATAGCTGCATAAAATCTTGTAGCCAATGAAGAGAGAGCAGTTGCTAATCAGAGACTTCCAACAGAGTGGAGAGAGAAGACGCAAGCTGCAAAATGCCAACTTCTTAAAAGCTCCACAAACAAATACCAGAGTCTCCTACCCAGCCCATCCTTGATGGCCCCATGGAAAAATGATCATGTTATGATCCACTGAAACCATTGAAGAGCATGTGACTAAGATAAAGACATAGAAGCTCTAGCAATTATTTGATTCTATTACATTGTTGAGAAGTCAGCTTCTGGCCAGAAGATAGGAAATTCTTTCCCCATGTTACACAAAATCTTTTGGCTTCCTGGAACTGCTATTTAAAATTTCAAGTACTGTATCTGGGTATAAATTAGAGGCATTAAAGATTTGTTTAATGTTGGCAAGTTCAGGCAGATAATAAATATATATTCCACTTAAGGTATTATTTTCTGGAGGGTAGTAAATATGCATTTGTGAAGTCTTTTTTTATGGAACGAACAGAGAAATATTTAATCAGTGCTTTGCCTTATACTGGTGGTGGTGGTGGCTGAGGATTAGAATGAGAGTGCAGATAATTATCAAGAGGAAGGTAATTTCTCTCTTTTAAGTAGAGAACCAATTTGGCTCTCTTAACTAGAGCTATTGCCTAATCAGTCAAACCAAGAGCCAGAATGGCAAGGGGATGGATATTTCATTAAGGATGTCAGAGATGTGTACTAATCTACAAATGCCCTTAGTAATAGGCTTTTGGATTTCACATAACTTACAGGAGTATAGCATTATAAAAAGAGATAAAAAAGATCACACACAACTAATTGTGCACAGATTTGTAAATTAAATAGTAAGCCCATGCATTTCAATTACATTGGCAAAGTCAATTACATATAATTGCAATTCTAGCTCATGTGCTTGCATAATTCAAACTTTATTAAAGCTTTACTACATGGAGCAAGTTTCAGCACATGGAAATACTTTTAAAGTAAATCTCTAATCATATCATACAATAAAAGTTTTTAAATTGCTTTTACATTTTGATGCAACTCCATCTGCCTCCAAAGTGGAAAACATGTTCAACTGTCTTTATAATTCACAAATCTGGTAAATTTTCCCTGAAACCAGCCAGAAATGTATATACTGTTTAATCACCAGTAACTCATGGATCAAGATGAAATACTTGCTTGGTTTTTCTAACTTTTTTCTTAAATTTTTTACTTAGATTCCAGTTAGTTAACATAGAGTGTAATGTTAGTTTCAGGTGTAGAATGTGTGATTCAACGCTTCTGTACTTCACTAGGTGCACATCATGACAAGTGCACTCCTTAATCCCCATCACCTATTTAATGCATCCCTCCACCAGCCTTCTCTCTGGTAGCCATCAGTTTGTTCTCTATAGTTAAGGGTCTGTTTCTTGGTTTGCCTCTCTCTCTTGTCACTCCCCCTTTGCTCATTTGTTTTGTTTCTTAAATTCCGCATATAAGTAAAATCATATGATATTTGTCTTTCTCTGACTGACTTATTTCACTTAGCATAATATTCCATAGCTCCATCCACATTTTCAA